ATAGCTGGGCTCTGTGACAGGGACCAGGCAGCCCTGGACACATTTAATGAAGTAAAGATTTTCACTGGCCTGGGGCCAAACACTCGCTCTGGCATCAACAGATTCCCCGTGTGCACAGCGGGGCCGGTTGATCGTGTGCATCCTCCTGTCAGTTCACTGTCATTAAATCTGTCACTAATCTCAGAGCCACAAACACAAAGGCAGGAGATACAGTTCTGGAAAAAAAGAAATTGATCAGCTGCCAACAGAGTGTTCCCAATCCCCAGAAGCTTCTACATTCAGCCATCAAGTGTGTCCCGTATGTTAGACTTTACACCATCACTGCAACAGTGTCCAACACACAGACTGTGCAGGTAAAGAGCATGAAGCTAATAAAAGAGAACATGGTTTAGATAAGATGCGATTAATGGTCTCTACTGTCAGTATTGTCAATTAACTCTGATTGGATTGTAGAAATAATCAACGAGCTGATATATGCGCTTAACTCTGTCGGACCCAAACAGCTGATCTGTGGAGTAACACAGTGTGCGCCGTGGTTGTGCTTGTGTGTAGGGAACATGGTTAGAAAAAATGTATTTCCAAAGTAAAGGGCTTTTTGACGGCGGTGAAAATATTCAAAATAAAGCGACAATTAACCTGATATTAGCTTTTTTCTGTTAGCATCTTTTTAAGTGTCTAAAACGTGTGTGTTCTGCAGCTCATCACTCAGGTAAATACCTCACACAAACCCACTTCAAATAACTATCACTTTAAGTTATCACATCCAGAGTATCTCACTCACTCACCTGGGCACAGATAAATGTAGATTCTTTTAATCTTGTTATCCATATAATTACATGTTCCCGTCAATATTAAAGCAGCAGGTGGATCAGTGCTTGATACTGCTTTATCAGAGGAGGGTGAAAAAATGAATCGATCAGTTCATCAGTTGAGTTAATTTAATGTAATGAAATAAGTCAAAATTAAAATGAATTGTGTACTGTCAGATATTATCAGTCAAAAAAAAAGTTAACCATAGCCATGACACTGGGTCCCTGGTGAGATCTCCTAACCAGTGCAATCAGTAAAGAGCTGTGCCCAGGACCATATGGGCTAATAAGAGAGTGGCCATTTCTGTCACTAAGACCCATTCTGGAAAAAGCTTTGGGTCTTAACCATCTGGAATCAATGACCGCTTCACCATTGTCACAGTCACTAAAGGAGCTTGGCTGCAGGCCATCTGGGACTCCCACCACAGAGACGTACTGGAGGGTATTACCTTAAACTCCCCCATCCTCAGCTTTCGTCAACCCCTGACTGTGACACATGGACAGCCAGCAGCAAGCAGGGGGTCAGACACTAACAAATTCTTATCGTCCTCCTCACAACATCAAGTTTCCTTATTGTTTTCATTCAGGAACTCTCAAGTCTCACATGTCACAGCTTCTAACAAGCACCTGAACGCACCAACAAGACGACTCAACCACAAACCTCATGAAAATGGAACTAATACATGAATAAAGCCAAATCAGTTTTCACTCCGATTGGTCATCTATGTCAAAGAGGTTGATTTTAAAATCTAATGGTTTGGAAAAGGGCTGTAATGGAAAGTATATATGATTTGTAATTAATGGTGAGAAGATATATGGGGGATAATTTCTGGATTGCGTATTCGGGCCACTGTAGGTAAAAAAAAAAAGAACAGAAAAAAGATGGAGCCAGACATTTTGACATTAAAGTCACAAATTTACAAATTAGCAGAAAAGTTTAAGTGGAAATTGATTTTGTTAGAAGTTAAAATTTATGTATATCTATAAGGATAATTAGGATATAAACATTTTCAAAATCGGTGGATTACATGTGAGAGAGGCGAAGACGGAGGGACACGTACTGTGTACTCGAGTATCCATGACACACAGGACTTTCCTGATTTCTAGATCTGGATCAAATCCAAGACCAGAGGACGAGAGGTGATGAGTAAAGAGACTTCCATGTTTAACATTAAACTGTGCTGACTGTGCACAAACTCAGAGCTGAGTAATTATTCACTACAACTTGTAATGCATCTCACATTTCATGGTATTTCAGGAGTTGGAAGGAGGAGGGGAAGTTCCAGAGAGAAGAAGCTTGTTTTATTCTGAGCATCTGACTCTAACAACTGAATCACTTCACTGTTTCCATTTCTTGTGCTAAATCATTTTGGCACGTTGCTCTCCAGAGATTTCACAGCACTGCACTGTCTTCTTCTTTTCCCTTTGATTTAACTGTAGCTGTAGGTGGAGACCTGAAGTGTATCACCTCCTGTTACTCGAGAAAGACCTGACCAACAGGTTCCTATGAAAGACATTTTAGGATATACCCCACTGGAACATGTGGAACCTGAACATGCCTCTTTGTCGGCCCAGTGAGAGACTGAGTGGACCACCTAACGACACAGACAGGGAGTTTCCCCACAGAGAGAGAGGAATGCTGGGAGGGCCGCTGGGCGTGGAGGCGTGAGCTCGACGGCATCTATCCTTGTCTTAGTCCGGAAACTGCTCACTGTGCACATCACACTTCACTCTTCACACTCTTCTCACACACACACACACACACACACACACACACACACACACACACACACACACACACACACACACACACACACACACACACACACAGTGCTGGAACGCTGTGCTGCAGGCAGAATGTTCTGCAGGCTTGTTCCATGATCATGCTTCAGTTTCAGGCTGCACAGCTGTGAATCTCACCAGAGTGGAATAATGAGCCAGAACCTTCCACACAAAAACAGCAGACTCCGTTTCAGCAGAATAAATAAATGAAGCTGAATTAACTCAAAATAAAAACACTGCATTAGGAAGGTGAATAAGTAATGTCTGTTTCAGCTGACACTAAATCTCTCCACGTACGTTTGATCATGTTCACAGTCGTCCAGTTTAATCTGAAAAGGCTCATGAATGAATTCCAGCCCTGAGTTCAGACGGCTCAACCAGAGAATGGGCCAAGAGTCACATTCAGTCAGGGAATAAACACAAGTTGTTTGGCCACGGAACAACAACCGCTTCATCTGTTATTACTCCAATTAACCACCTGAACAATGTCGACTGTTGGCTGAAGAGAAAAACTCTTCAGGAAGTGAAGCTGTGGCCTGCAGGCCAGTCGTCTTCCAGGCACGAGTTCACCGATGAGTGACACAACCAAAGAGGCAGTTTAATTTTTACACAACGTCACATCAGATTTGTGACTTTAAAGAACAGGTTCACAGCTTTCCAAGTCTGTTTTACAACAATGACTACATGACTACAAGCCAAGTGCACAGTCAATGTCATATCTTAACAAATGTGAGCTAAATTGTTCCAATTCATATATTTTATTTATTGCTATTAAAAAAATCTTAAATTGCAGTTTCTCATAACAACATGCCTATGGCCCTTTGCACCACAGCATTTATCCATTTCAGCCTTACACATAAAGACCGACTGCAATACTAATACAAGAAATTACAATTAAAATGAAAAAAACTAGACACAATGATAGAAAACTGAATGAAAAACACTGAAATAAATTTGAGACTGTGGGAGAAAAAGTTTAAAAATTACTGCTGATGAATAAAAGTAGATTTGTATTAAACACAAATATGAATAAATAAGGAGAGAGAGACAGAGAGAGATTGCCACAGTTTGCTGAGAACAATAACACGACATGGTCGACGCCTCGGTGGCGTACATGAACATGAACACACGAACTTGTGTCAGCTGATCTGCTCACTACAATGCTGCAGATCAGATCAGAGTAGTGCTGCAGATTAATGTAACCTTTCATGTTGCTCTGTGGCAGCTAATCTCAGTCACAATGTCATGTCATGCGATGCAAAGCCACACACAAATACACACGCACATACGTGCGCACACACGCACACACACACACACACACACATACACAACACACACACAGCCTTTGTTGAGGACCTCTAAGACTCACACATACATAGCTAACATAGCTGCATAACAGGAGATTATTGGCTGAAATTACTTTGATTCAGCCGAGTCTTACCTCAGCTCTTATCTCTAATGTTATACCTGAGTCAACAAACCGCCACAACCACAATACTGTTCAGAGGACCAAGTCATTCTATGGGCAATTACTCATGGAAAAACTTATCTAACCAAAAAGGGATTGGCCTTATGACATTGTTACAGGCTATACCCCAGATCAGTTGAGCATACAGGATGGAGACCATTTCCTCTAATGATTAACCTTTAAGAAATCCTGTGAAAAATCAGCTGGCATCAAACGACGGACTGGATTTGAGTTTCAGGTGCCAAAGACGAACAGGACCATACTTTTATCAACCTTTCAATGTGTAACTAATGACACACAGATAAAAAAAGATCCCACAATCAGCTGAATAGAAGTAGAAAAATTGATACCCAACTGATAATGATATTAGTTTTGAATCCAGATATAAGCCAGTATACATGCATGTCTGTGCATCAGTTTATCTCAGAGGACACTGCAGCAGTGGCTCATTAATGCAGGTCAAATCAATTCATCACTTCTGCCGGATCATGCAGTAACTGGAGGGACATGAAGTAACTGAGGGTTGATATAATCTGTTCAATTTAAGAAGGAAATATGATTTCGTACGTTTCTAGGAAAGAAATGCAGCTGATAAATAAATCCCAAACATCTCTATTTACTGTTGTGACCCAATCAGACCAGTCAGGCGTGCATACAGGAGCCTGGCAGACAGCCGGGCTGTCCCGGTGCCAGACCTGCTCAGTGACCGCTGCCAAGTAAACAACAACAAACATTTCAACTGCACAAAAATGTAACTTGAAATATGTGCTTTTACTTAAACTATGCTGCATTATACAACTGGCAGAGCCATGTTATCCTGGCAAACAAATTAATAAAATAAATAATAAATAAAATTAAAAATCATCTAATTAATTTTAGGGCAGAGTTCTCCAAGAATACCTGATGTTCTGGTAAGGAGTGTTCCAGACAGTTGGGCTTACCTTCCGAGCTCTTTCCCGGGGAGGATGGTGTAGTGGTCGGTGAAAGGTTCGTTGGTGATGGGGGTCTTGATTTCGGACAACAAGCCGCTGACACCGCGGCTCTGGCTCGGTTCGGCCGCTGGGCTGCGCAGGAAGCGGGTTCGGCTCCTCGTGTCCCCGGCTCGTGGACATTCGGGGATCATGACGTCGTTTCGGTCGGTTAGCTTAAAGTTCAAATGAAAACTTTGACAAACGGCAACGTTAGCACACTAATATTAAACTACACAGAGGACTAAACGGTGAAAGACAACACGAATATCACTGTCTGTCGGCCTAAGAGTTAAAAGCGCCCGCATAGTTTAATATTCTGTCAAATAACGCGACTGTCCGGCTCATTTTGATGAAGTTATTCGGTCTGTACTTCTCTCCTCGTTTGTCAACGGTCCTCAACTTGCTCCTCACTTACAAACCGGAGCGCTGCTGTGCTGTCAGTTACTATGGCAGCCTGTGTTGATTGACAGGTGGGCTGGCCTATTGGACGGCGTGCAGTGGGGGCGCAGTGGGGCGGAGTGCTTTCATGTGTAAAAGGATAAAAGGTATCGTTCCGAGTTAAAGAAAAAAAAAAATTATGGAGGCTCAAAATGGCCAATAAGTAAATAAATTAACAATTGTGAAGCAAATAAAGTAAATAATAATAATAACATGAGTATACATACAAATACAAACAGTAGTTTGGTCGTTTTTTAAGAATCTAATTTATGGAGTTCTACTTTGCATAACTTTATAAACTGGTTGTATATTTGGACATATAATCCATAATTCATTTGTAATTTTAGAACGAATAAAAAACACCTGGTGTTTGTTTTAAAACCAAAATGGAAAAAAACATTTTTGGTGTCAGAATCAAAAAACAAGAAACAATCAAAATGGACCGTTTATGGATTTTGTCGATTTCTTTTATAATTTTTCTGTTCCAAAACAAAAACTGAATTCATATAGTTTTTTCTATTCTAAACCAAAAACGACATCATGTGGTCATTGTTTTTTTGTTTCCAAACAAAAAGCGAGAAAAACAAAACTGAAAATTGTTTTTGTTTTTGCAAATTATTTTCATTCATTATTATTCATTTCCAGACATGAAGCAGAAACTAACTGTAAAAACGTCAAAATAAAATCCATAAATATATGAATAAATAAATGCATACATAGGCTAAGTAATTAAAGATCTTTTTTGTACTTTAATAATAATAATAATAATAATTTAATTTAGACATCATTCATTCATTCATCTTTCTATGTTCTGACATTGCCCTGGTATAGATCCTTTGCTTTTTTAATAGTACACTTTTATATTCTCTTGACTTTTAGTTTGACTTTTTTACACTTCACTTCCTCATTCTGTCTGACCCAGTGCGAATAACAATTATAATATCACAGTTATACAGATGTATTATTTGAATTATTCTGTAAAACACTTTATGATGGTTTCCATTTTATCATTCCACATATTATTGCATTTAATTCAAGAAGTGTGATATGCCAAAAGTTCCAGTCTGACTTTTATTCTCTGTCTGGAGTTGAGTCCAACAGCTTTTGTCAAACTGCTATTTCCAAGGTCAAGAATGAACCTTGAGACTTGATCAGATTATCTTTTTTAATCTTTATGTCTGTTTTTTTTGTTTCAGTCTGTATAAAATATCCACACAATGGCAGCAAAGTAACAAAGTGACCTTTTTATTGAGATTCATAAACAGTTGTATGGTACGGTGGAGCATTAGCACAGCCTGAGTATTTAGCAACCCGTTCTCAGACAAAAACAGAGCTGTACTTTCCAACATTATGTACATATGTGTAGAATACACACACCCAGACACCCACACATACACCCACACACACACACACACACAAAACAAAAAACAAAAATAAAAATATGCATGCTTCATCAAATTTGCCAGCATCCATTCAGTCAGTCACATTTTCCCTTTTGTTAAATTCCCTTTTTTAAAATGAAAATGGACAAATAAATAGTTTGAAAAGACACAAATACCAAACTGCCGCTACAATTTTCCACCACCTTATCTTTCTATAGACATCCCATGACCCTTTACTTCTCCAAAAGCTTATTTAAATATTTCTATAATAGCTTCAATCAGTGCACTTACATACAGAATCAGTGTTATTGGAGTGTTTGTAACCATTATTTGTGTTCAAGATCTACAATGCATGTATTTGACATATAAACCTAATAAAAGCAAGACTTCTGTACACTGTCTCTACGTTTTCAACAAATTACACCCACTTTTTATGCATGTGATTTGTTGCTCAATGCACAGGTTACTCTGAATACATGAGGCTCTGAAATGTATGACACAGTCAGACATCTGTCTCTGCAAGCTGAACGGAAACTAAACAGTAGCGACTGATAACCAGCTAGCTTAACAGGTAATAGAAAAGATACGAAATAAAAACACAAAGGCTTCAAAAGTGAAGGCAAACTCTTCGACCGATGCTTCTCATCACATCATCATAAAACAGCAAACAAACAAAACATTCAAGGAAAGCTTCAGATCTTCCCTTTACTTATAATTACAATACAGTATAAATAACAGTACAAAAGATTGTAGAAAAGAAAAACAAGACAGGGAATGCAACATAATCACAGCCTTGTCCTCTTGGTTGTAGAGATGCGTGGATAAGGCCTCGCCACTGCTGAGGATGAATGCAGTACTAATGATCCGACTGCCGGTACAGTGAGTTTACCACAGTTATATGTGGTTCTGATCAAATTCATTCTCAAATGCGTTTGTTCATACCATGGTCTTTACTGTAAACAGAAAATCCTGCGTTTCTGTTGCTGTCGTTGTGACTTATTACCCCAGTTTGATCGTTTCTGTAACTACTGAAAAAATTAAGCACAATTTAGGTGAAGAAAAGAAAGAAAGAAAGAAAATAATATTATCACATCACATGTGGGGAACAAAGAAGCACGAGTTCACAGACGTTCAGCTGAGGCCAATTTCTCTCAATGTGTGTGAAAAACTTCCAGAGGTCTCATCCATTTGTTCCTTACACCCGTTTATCCTGTGAAGGGTCAGGGGGTAAGGGGGTGGAGCCTATCCCAGCATGCCTTGGGTGGACAACAAGGAATCTAGAAATAGAAGTTGCCAATTTCTTCCAGGGCTAACAAACAAACTCTTACCCTGGTGCAATTAAGGCCTCGTTTACACTTGATATTTAAAGAGTGTCATGTCTTAACTCTCGCTCTGTATAAATACGGTCTGTTTAAGTTTAGAGAAAGACTTTTGTCACGGCAAATAAACTGTGGTTACAGTGTGGAGTTAGGTACCTAAAGAACTAGGTTAAGTGTAGGGAAAAGATCCTGCACTAGATGCAGCGGGGGGTGGGTCTACGTCCGGTCCAGGACTGTACCAGCTCTTCATAAACCATTACAAAGTTAGAACGGAAAGTGCTTCATAAGTTCTCAGTAGCTATTTTTCTAACTAGTGATTTACTAAATCGGGATGCGCCATGTTAGCTAGTACAGACTTTAGTATTGTGTGAACCTGTTGCTAGGAAACATCTGTAGCACTAGCCAGTCAGGAGCCATCAACAATGTAAACAGGAAGTCATTGTATAACTTCTAAAAATGATTGTTTCTTTCTTTCTGCATCTCTCTGTTCCAGGGTACAATTTATAGTGAGTACTAACCTAACTTACATTATTTACTAATTCTAGTAAAATGATTTGTAAGTTGAGGTATATTGTGTTATTTTTGTGAAATGCAATTTAAAATCGTCAGGCATGACATTATAAAACAGCATTTATCAAGTTTCACCTTTCACTCTAAACGGCTCAGATATTAGCTAATCATTTGGTTCAGATAACTACAACTGTTACACCTGACAGTTAGCAGATGTACGCTAATGTCTACGTAGGAGCTAGTTTGTGTGGTGAAATCAGTTTTATTTCATTCATGGACTTTGTAAACACTTGCTCTAAGTTTGAACATCTACGAACAGCTGGTGCAACCAGCTCCAGGACAGCAATAACTTTAGCTAAAAACGGTTTAGCTAGCTAGCTAAAAACGGTTTAGCTAGGTAGTTTAAAATACAAACACGTGGACGACTCGCGGGAACGGACAACAAATAAGCAGGACCAGAGATATCGTCTTTTTTATTCCCCACATTCTTCGTTCTTTTTGTTTGTTTTTACCTTGTAACTGTCTGTAATGCTAATAGAGGCTAATGTAGCCTGGAGCCTTTAGCCTCAAGCTCACTTTTAACTCCATGCCCTCTGATTGTTCTCATTCTAAAACTCGTAGGACTTAAGTCAGACTTCACACAGCTCCGTCTGGAGATACAAAAGGCTTTATACAACTTATTTCATATTTGCAACACCTGGAAACACGCTGTGTGAAACCATTGGAGTTTTCCTTTAATCTTACAGCTCATTCAATGGTTGCAAAGACAAACTGCATCGTTACATTGAAAGGAGTAAAAATAATGTTTTGAGGGATGAAAGCTTTTACACCTTTTCTGGCTAAAATGTGTCAGACTTCTGGTTGCATTTGCACTTGGCTTTTTTTTTTTTAAAATTAGACAGCAGATGTGCCCATGAAGACGCATGAGGCGGCTGAGTGTGAGTTGGGTATCAGAGTTTCCAGTAAACCAGACTTGTGTGACAGGAAACTCACGTCCACACGAGCAGAACATGCAAAAAGAACCGATGCAAATATCTGAACTCAGGACTTTTCTCATGTGAGGCTCAAATACGAATCACCAAGCCCCACAAAAACCACAGGCCACGTATGAGGCAGTAAGTAACTGAGGCACAGTTTCATTACTGGACTAGAGATGTAGACAAGGGTCGGGAACGCTGAGGGAACGCTGCAGTCAGTCACTGTGGGAGAGAACATGGCAGACTGAGGGACAGATTTAAGTTAAGGTCTTAACTATTGCATATGTTACACTGGTTCATCCAAGGGCCTCTGTCCACATCACAAGTTCATGCAGCAGGGCCGGATCGGTTCAGGACCCCGGTCTGATGAAGCCCTTGAAGACCCACGATGCTGCTTTGCACCAGTCACGTTGTTTGAGACAGTAAAGGTTCAGATACTGGAGAACCGGCTCCGTGCACAGAGCAACGCTGAGGTGATGGTTCACAGACAGAGAGAAGAAGTTCATCAGTGGAAGACTTGAATAAGAGAAGAAGCTCCCATTCAAACAGCAGGACCAGAGACGCTGACACTCCAGCCCCGCCCCTTTTACACAGCTGGAGCGTCCACTTCTTTGTCGTCAAGGACTCGCGAACTACCTGCTTGCTCGGTCTCCACAGAGGGAATCCCAGAAGCCCTTGTGTTGGTATTGATGGCTACTTTGATAGAGGAGACATGACATCATCGTCTCTGCTTTTGAAAGCCTCGCAGAGCAAGAAGGTTTGGAGGGACTGTTGATGAGCCGTTTGTGTCCAGGTGCTGCCTGCCTCGGAGAGATCTAGCTGTTCCTGAACGATACCGATACGTCTCGAGTATCAGGACTGGATTAAGTACTGTAGTGGTTGCAGAGTCTGTAAATACCCATTAGACCCATTTGCTGTCAGTGGACTGGATCTGAATTAGACTAAAGGTCAGGTGTGTATGAAGGAGTCATGTGTTACTCTTCCCCCAGCTTCCTCCTGTTTCTCAGCACATTCTGACTTTCAGCACTACTCTGGCGCCTCTGCTCGTCACTGAGGAGCTCAAATTATTGACATTGAATTGCTATAGTTAACCGAGAGGATAACAAGAGACTGTTTATGGATGGCTTAACTGTTATTGACATTGACGCGTCCCTTCAGTGGTCCTGGTCTTATCAGTAGATCATTTGCGTCACCTTATCGTAATCAGTTTCTCACTTTTGGGCTCGACTCTCTGCAGATGCATCTATTATCTGACCTCCATCCATCTGATCTTGTGCAGGATTCATTTCTTCAATTTAAATCCAGATGCCAAGTGGTCTGGAAAACCTGTTTCTATGACTTCTGCGGCTTTGATTTATTTTTGTCCCCTTTTTTGACACTGGTTCTAATTTTAGATTTGATTGTAAGGTTCTACTCATCACCCCTAAGGCCTTGAAGCTTGAAGCACTGCATTTCTTCACATCCCAGTCTCAGCCGCTCAGGCGGGATCCTGTCGGCCCGCCAACGTCCAGGTAAAATACATAACGATCCTTGTCGGCTCTCCAGATGAAAAACCAGACATGATTGTTCCTTTAGCATCTGGGCTACGAGACCTAACGTCCATCTGACGAGTCGTTTTTAAATTTGCATAATATACTTTGAACCAATTCTTTAAAGCCACATTTATAGATTCATCTGAACGTATACGAGCAGTAAACCACCTGAGAATCTGTGTGCAGGATTGTTAGTGTTCAAGTTTGAATTCACAGAAAAGATAAGTCAACATTTGGATGTGTCAAACCCGCTTCTGTTAGAGCTTCTCTTATCTTTGTTGTTACTGTATATAATCATACTATAGGTTTTATAATTTATAACTTTATTACTTAAATCTTTTCTGTCGATTCAAATTTTGAGGATAAATTTCTCAAGTATTTCATTGTCATATTAACGTCTTAGATCTTCTTGTTTTCGGTGCTCTTTCTGTACATTTCTATTTATCTGTTACTGTTAGTTTTTGTAAAGATTTTTGTGACCGTAGGTTTTTTTTTATTATTGGATGGATGATGCATTTTGGTGCATGCAACTATAAATGATCTTGATTCCATCTTACATACCCTTTCTTCAGGTATGTTTATACCATATATATAATTCTAATCTTTTTTTTAAAAAGCCAGTCTAGTGTTTCATCGTCTCCAGTCTTGATAATTAATATAAAAATAACTGCTGTCCTGCTGTGGTGCACTAAGTGCTGGGTGCTGTCATAAACTTCCCCACGTGGTGACGTACATACAGTTTGTCCACGTGACCAGAAACGTTGCCGAGTAGAATCCAGGTGTCTTTGCGACGTCAGGAGCTCACAAGAGCTGCTCTTTTTTTTTTTCTTTTCCTTTTGCGTTTCGGCCCAGCCACCGTTTCACTGAGAGGGATGCAGCGGTGATCCGTCTCACTCCAGGCCAAATGTGCTGGTTTCCTCCACGGCGATCAGCAGTTTCTCATACAGCATGGTGTATGAAGGGTATGGAGGCAGGTCCAGGCGGTTAAAGCAGGTATGAGCCCTGAGAGAGAGACAGGTAGAGCTGTTAGACATGTGTCTCTCTTTCAGGTGCAAACATTTACATTTTTTAAATTAGTATTTATGCAAACTGGTTCCTTCAAAACTTTGGTATAAGCAGCTGGAATTTAAGATGAATTCCTCATGTCAGCGCCACATTTTCCTGGTGCGTTTATACACCAACATTTCATTTAAAGTTGCTTTTATTGTATCCTGACAATTAAAATCTCTGATGTCATGAAAAGACACTTAAAGAAACAGCACCACCAGCCAATTAGCTTAGCTTAGCATGAGGACTGGAAACAGGACCAAACAGCTCACTTGGCTCTGTCTAAAGGTAAACAGCATCTCATTGGTTGAATTCATACAAAAACTATAAGTATAAAAACTTTGTTCTTTTATGGATTATATGTGGCAAAGAAACAGTCCAGCACATAAACCACTCTAAAGATGACATTTATACACTTCAGTTGTATTGTTCCAGCCTTTATGCTAAGCTAAGCTAACTGGCTTCTGGCTCCAACTTTGTATTTAACCTTGTATACATGAGAGTTGTATCAGTTTTCTCATTTAACTCTATCTATTCTGCACGTACACTCAAACGCAGACACATGGATATGGAAACTAAAACAACTGGATCCCTGAACATTTATAAACCGATATTTGACCTGTTTACATCAAGACTGTGTCTGGCAACAACTTATGACGACAAACAGACCTGGGATCCTTTGAGAATGATTTACAGAAAGCCTGTGTAGCCTCGATGCTAAATGCTAAAATGCAGTGTAGCAGTAGCACGGGCGTACAACATCCATGCTAACATTAGCCACCATAAGCTACTCGTCAAACAAGACCAGGCAACTGCATCTACTGAACTGAGCTGGTTTTGTTTTAAGGTTTGTTGCTAATGAATTTTTAACCAAGCTTTGACTGATCGCCTCCTCGGCTGCGTCAACACAAACACACACAGGACCAAACACCATCTCCACACCTCGTATTGTGAGCAGAGTACTACGGTTCGCTGTGGTGGTTCAGACTCTGGCTCTCGTCCCTGCTCTGCACGGAAACCTGATCGCTGCTCTGTGTTTCTGCTGAGTGCGCTCACTTTTTGGCTGCTGTTTACCAAATTAATGTCCCACTGCGAGGTCAAAGGAACAAACCTCGTACAGTATCACATCCACTCAGACTGCAGAGGAGGGAAAATACTAAAATAGCTCTTCTGCTGAGCTGGTGCATTGTTGTGAACGGATGAGGGCGATGTCAGGGCGTTTGTAAAGAGTTTGGAGGTGAGCCGCAGTTTTACTTCACCAGTCACCTTGTACTTCTGAGTCAAAGGAACAAGCTCAGTGACACAGCTGCAGTCCAAACCTCTCCGTTCATGATGATGAGGGAAGCCAGAAGACTGTGAACGCAGCGTCACAGGAAACACGCTTAGATACCTGGGTAGTGATGTGACTTTGCCCCACTTCTCGATGCAGAAGCGTCGGAGGCCGTTGGAGCCTCGCAGAGCGGCGAAGCCTTCGTAGGGAACGCTGGACGTCCCCGTGACAAACTGCAGCAGGCGGAGACGCTGCTCGTTGTTGAAGCGCTCCACGGCGGCCCAGAACCAACGCATCACTATGTGGCCGTCATGGTAACCTAGCCAGTGGGAGACAAGGGGTTAGCTCAGGTTGAGGGCTTTACACAGACACATATAAACACACTGTTATTTGTTATAACCACAGAGGCTTCCGTCTCTAAACTGGAAAATCTTAATTCAGATTTTTACTGGTTTGAATTAAAAAGAAGCTGCTGTTGTTGACCAATCGGGATCCAGGACTGTGAAGGTTTGTTCACAACACTGGAGCTGACTGGACTAGAGCTTTGTGGGTTTTTATTAGAGCAGAAAGAAAGTCTCAACACGATGAAGTGACTTTTTTCCTGATTTCTGACATTTTGGGAAATATATAATTTTCATTGAGATGAGAAGATTCATATCAATCACACACCTGCAGAGTGAAGCTCAGCATGAAGACTTCTATAAAGATTTATGCTAAGCTACGCTAACTGACTGCTAGTTGACTCCAGATTCAGATTTAACACACTGTTCAGACCTGAGAGTGTTACTGAATTCCCAAAATGTGGATGTTAAATGCCCCTCCCCCGTACATATTTGTGTTGTTTTTATTTATATTTTTGTATAATATTTCTTTGCATTTTTATTGTAAATATTTTATCTTATTGTTAATTTTTCGATTTATATCAAAGATATCTGACCTGCAGTACTTGTTTGTTTCATCTTTGTTAATATTTCTTATCTTCTTACTATGTTTATTGTCATGCACCAAAACACCAAAGCAAATTCCTTGTATGTTGAAAACCTGCTTGGGAATAAACCAGATTATTATTCTGATTCAGATTCTAAATCAAAGAGGTGTGTATTATGACTACCCCCCCCCCCCCCACACACACACACACACACCTCCTCTGTACTCGGTGTTGCTCCTCCAGTCACCGAGGTCGATCTCCACTGTCCCAGCGATCACCAGCTCCAGCTCCCGAGCATCGAACACGGACACCAGCCTGGAGTCCACCACCTGGAGGGGGCGGAGCAAAGACAGGTAAGTTTTAGCTGCGTGTGGTTTTAATCAGGTGTAAAAATGAGGTAAAATACTTCACAGTTCTGAGTGTATCTTATTTTGTTAAAATATCACTTCCTGCAGCTGCTACACTCGACCTATGACCTTATCAATAAATAAATGAATGAATTAATCGTTTACCTCGTAGAAGCCTCGGACCAGAGCCTCCGTCTGCTGCACCACCCCTCTCTCCACCCTCCACTTGGCCATTCGCTCGATGTAATCCTTCTTGTTCTTCTCAGTCACCTGCAGGTTGGAACCGCCCGACTTCAACTCCCGCTCCGTCACCTAGCAACACAGGAGGGGTCTAGTTAACGGGCGAGTTTAGAGATCTGCACACACACGGGTCAGACTGTAGGCGTGTAGCTGATGATGTCACCTGGCCAAAGACTTCCTCGTTGACGGTGAAGGTGAGGTCCAGGATGTCGGTGATGTCGTTGTCTTTCATCCACTGCAGCGACTGGTGGAACTCCTCGTCCAGATACTCCAGGTCAGACAGGTCTGTCGGCCTGTAGGACACACACACACACACACACACACACACACACACACACACACACACACACACACACACACACACACACACAACCCACTGTTGTATATACACTGGTCCGCAGTGGAATCTAGGTGTTTTAGCAAAGTGATTTCATGGTGAACAGCTGATTCAACCTGAGTGAACAATGATAAACTTTATTTATATAAAACTTTTCTTAACAAAGTTACAAAGTTGACACACTTCAGGTTGGAGGAGAGGACACAAACGAACCTAAAAAGATTAGTGAAGTTTTAAAGATATTGTGAAAATTTCTTCAACATAGAAACACGGGACTGTCCTGGATGATGTCACAATACCATCAGTTTTAATTATTTTAACTTTCAGTAAGTATTTTCTCCAGCTGTGAGCTACATAACAAGTTTTATGGAGGATTAAATTTTACATTTTGAATTTTAAATTCACCTCTTTGTGTGAGTGTGTGTACAGAAAAACAAACATCTACCTGCTCGTAGTCACATTTGGCAGTTTAGAATTCAAACATTTTCATCTATTGCAGTGAGGAAGTAAATGACAGTTCATAAATATTGTGGTGTGTGTGTGTGTGTGTGTGTGTGTGTGTGTGTGTGTGTGTACTGACAGTCTGAGCAGGGCCTTGTAGAACGGTCTGGTGAAGAAAGCATCCAGCAGGTACTGATGAATCAAAGCCAGGCCTAGGATACGACCGCTGAACCGGAACCTGGACACACACACACACACACACACACACACACACACACACANTGTTGGTTTGGGTTTTTTTGGGTTGAGTGTGTGTTGTGTGTGTGTGTGTGTGTTTGTGTGTGTGTGTGTGGTGTGTGTGGTGTGTGTGTGTGTGTGTGTGTGTGTGTGTACTGACAGTCTGAGCAGGGCCTTGTAGAACGGTCTGGTGAAGAAAGCATCCAGCAGGTACTGATGAATCAAAGCCAGGCCTAGGATACGACCGCTGAACCGGAACCTGGACACACACACACACACACACACACACACACACACACACACGGTCACATCAAAGTCATATTCCATCAGTCTGTCCGATAAAACACATAAAACAATCGACCCTCAGGAAAAATAACGCAGCATTTTTAAAATCTGCAGCCACAGCTTCATCATCTGTCATATGTTTATTACGTAATAAATATTCCAGCTTCCACAGTAATAATTAAAAACTTCAAAAAGCAGACTCATCTTTCATGATGTCACACACTCAATAAGATCTCTAAGATAGTAACCATGGAGACCAATAGCTCATATTTAGAGTCCATAAACATTTGCAGAAAAACTGAACTTTCCGTGTGAAAAATTCGGTGAATAGATAAAAACAGAGAGGACGGTGTTGATTGGATATTCACCTGTGACCTACAACCAATCAGATGATGCTGCAGACGGAACTCTGAGCCAGACTACAGGAAGTAACCTCCACAAATCTTTCAGAGACAGGCGGCTGCACCAGAGCCAGAGGAGCACTTTTAATTTGCTGGTTCAATTAGTGATCAGAACAGACAAAATAATGATTCTGATAATTGGAAAAATGGTGAATATTGTTCCAGAAGCACTTTCATGTTTTTTAAAGATTCATTTTTTTATATTACTCTGGCATTTTTGTCTTTTTGAACAGTCTGACAGTAAATATACAGATGAGAAACGTGGTGACTGTAACACACTCTGTGGCCAAAATCTAAGTGGGTTTATTGTGTTGTATCTACATGGCGTGGATCTCACTCACTACACCACCAGGAAGTCCTGACATTTAGCATTTGACATTCACCCCCTCTCACCACCAGGGGTCTCCCCCTCAGGTGAGCAGAGACTGAGGACCCCATAGTCAGAGACCTCTGGGAACCGCCTCCATGGGCCTGTTCAGTGATGCATCATGTATTCAAGCACCATGGGAAAACAAAGTCTTTGTACGTTCAGAAAGTCTCATCTCATCAACAGATGTGAAACCTTAATCATAAACACACAATATACACTTTACACCACAGTGGGAAGTGTGTGTGTGTGTGTGTGTGTGTGTGTGCGTACTGGGCAGCTCACCATTCCAGATGGTTCTCTACAAACGCCGACATGGGGCTGATTTGAACGGTGTACGTGTCGTTGGCCGAGTATTCGAACAGGCCGTAGTACGGGTTAAAGAGCTCCTGAGACAAGAGGAAGAAGAACTCTCTGGACGGGCCGCTGTAATCCAACCTGAGGAGACGACAGGAACACTTTAACACTTCTGGTTCATGGTATATTTGGTAAGTTAAACTTGTATTACAAACTCCTTTTGGCCCATTTAAAAAATAGATCAGGTCTAATTATCCACCTCCAACAAGAAGGACAAAATACACTTTAATGAATCTATTCCTGAGTCCGCTGACATTAAATAATGTTTAAAAGGTTTTTACCTCACATCAAGAACATTTTTATTTTGACATAAAAACAGAATACACAACAACAGACAAGCTGTAACACAACACTGGGGTGGGGGGTCAGGTCTGTTCAATGATCTCCATACTCCCCCTCACTGACACACAAAATCTGAAACACTTTTACACCTATTCAAGTCATGCATGATGGCAATGGAAGACCAGACAGTGTGTGATGTGCATTTAAGAACATGTATACATTTATATTAGAAGCCTGACTGGTGGTTATGTAGAGTCAGGTGGGCGACACTAATGTGGACGTGTTCTTTATCAGCTGAGATGGTAAAAGTGATTTAACTTTGGTAAAATGGGTGTGGACATAAGGAAGTAGTGGTAGTAGCATTGGTAATTATTCATGGTAGGGGCAGCCAATCACAAGCTACTGACAACAGGAAGTGATAAGATTAACTCATGTTAGTGCTGCTGCGTCTGACACTGAGCAGCTAAACCACCGTCATAATGATGATAATAACAATAACAATAACAATAATAATAATATTAATATTAATAATAATGATCAACTTTATTTATAGACTTTTCATACAATAGAAAGCTCTGAAATAGTACAATAAAATAAGGGTGAATAGAAGGACAATGACATCAGACAGTAGAAAGACAAATGAAAATAAAAACCAGTAAGAATAGTCAAATATGAGAGAATTAATTAAAAACCAAATAACCAGGTTTAAAAATGTTTCACTGAGCATCTCTTATAGCTCTCAGCAGGTTGTTCCATGGTATGGAGGTAAAGTCTGGTGAAAACGTCTTTCTTCTTAACAACAAACTTTAGGGTTGGTACAGTTTGAACTGTTGTAACTGTGGTTACATTTCTGGGTGACTTGGCTGTGCAGTTACTGTGTCACACTGGTGTTTGGTGTAGCTGATAGCTTTTAGTCTTTAATTAGTTGTGTAGCATGTGTCGGGCTATCTGTTAATTAGAAATGCTTCTGCATTAAATGGAAAACATCTAATTAACTGATTTCCTCCTGTGCAACTTAGTTCATGTATATGGTTGTGTGTGTGTGTGTGTGTTCACGTCTGTACAGTGTGTGTATTTACATCTCTGTCACAGTTTATTTCACATCCTCTGCAACATGATGAAAACAATCAGGCTGGCGAGACTAGAACAATCAGCTGTGTTACTTCACTGCCCATGTGTGTGTGAGTGTGTGTGTGTGTGTGTGTGTGTGTATCTGTGTGTGTGTGTGTGTGTGTGTCTCACCCCTCCTCCCCCAGGAAGGTAACGTAGAGTTTGTTCCTCTGCAGCTCTTTGCGGGAGTACGCCATCACCTGGTTGAAGGTTCCCTCCAGCAGGTGTTCTCTCCTGATGAGCAGCCTGAAGTACGACAACCACGACACATCATATATCATATATCATATATAACATATTATATATAATATATTATATATAACATATCATATATCACACATCATTTATCATATATTATATATAACATATCATATATCACACATCATTTATCATATATTATATATAACATATCATATATCACATATCATATATTATATATAACATATCATATATCATATATTACATATAACATATCATATATCACACTTCATATATCATATATTATATATAAAATATCATATATCACATATCATATATTATATATAACATATCATATATCATATATTACATATAACATATCATATATCACACTTCATATATCATATATTATATATAAAATATCATATATCACATATCATATATTATATATAACATATCATATATCACACTGCAAATACATGTTTCTTATTTATTCAACTGTTCAGTTTCTGTAAGTATTTGAATTTTTATTTATTCTCTTTTATTATTGAAACAAAAAAAACTTTTAATATACTTTTAATACACATGGACATTTCATTTGAAAATATACTAAATCAATCTATAGATATGAAGTGGCTGATGATGAAAAAACATATATTAAACATATATTTTGGAGCAGACTGTGTTGATCTTAAAGTTTGAACTGTGTGTTTTTTCTGATCCATCTGCTGTAGCTGCTGCAGAATATAATAATAATATGTGTATGAGTTTTATTTTGAAGGTGCAGTAAGTTGTGTGCAGTCAGTCGTACTTGATCTTGCCCGGTCCTTGGCCGTAGCCCTTCGCCTCCAACTTCCTGTAGAAGTTCCTTAGTTTGGCCTCAAAGTCTCTGCGGTAAGGAGCCGGGGCCCGGGCCCTCTGCAGGCCTACACACACACACACACACACACACACACACACACACACACACAAAGGAAAAGAAAATATAAAAAAGATGTTAATATAATTACAACATTAAATATTTAAAATAAAACTTGACTTCAATGTCTGTAATACGTCCATCACTTTAATTAATTTTTATTTAAATTAATATAATTATTCATATTAAAAAAATGTAAATTAAATAAACTTTTTAAACTCATTAAAAACAAATATATTGCTATATTTTATTAGAAAGGTTTTGACAATTAATCAAGAGCAGAGATACTTGTAATTGGCAGTTTGTTAATTGTGATTCATTTTGAAATAATAACCAGTAGAAAGAAGCAAAAATCAAAGTTAAAACAGCTTCAAAAACAGGATTAAAGAACATTTTATGATAATGAGGTGATTTAAACACTTATTAGATTATATCACTATTATGATTTATATACTATACACTTTGTCTGTATTTATTTACCTGTATTTATTACAAAATGTCTAATTAATTTAACTAAAATTGAACACTTTGGACCTCCACAGAAATGGAGTCTCCAGAACCAAGTCAGGGAAAAACCAGACAGCAAAAAGAATCACCTCATGTATTGATGTATTAGGTGAATTTATTTAGTATCAATAGGATGATAAATCTGCTGATGATCTTCCTCAGAGATAAAATGATCACACGCCCTCAGACCCTTTAATACAGGCTGCATATTTCACATTAATGACGTTCATAATTTGAGATAATTTCACTTTTGATGAATTTTCTTCTTGCACATAAATCAAGATGCTCTACAAAGACCGTGCTGTCTGATCGGTCCGGTAAATGTTTGTTTCCTGAACTTGTAGATTCAAGAGCACAGTCTTTAATTTCTGAAAGTGTTCTGCAGAGAATAATCCTCCAGGTGAGTCCTGGTGGACGAGGGGCGATGACCATGTGGTCGTGATGCCTCTGGTTTGAGCTGCGTGCCACTTCCCAGCTCTAATAAGAACTGGACTGACCTACGGTGGATTTCTCTGACAGTGAGACTGACGGACGCGCAGCAGCTCAGCTGAGTTCACAACATCATCTCTGTTTTTCCAGGTCACATTTCCACAAAGACAAAAGCACAACTAACGAATGAAGCACAATTACAAGCCAGGCTTCTCTGCCGTGACCCAATTTCCCTTTATAGAACATCCCATCAATAACTCACATACCCAGTGCACAACCACACACACACACACACACACACACACACACACACACACACACACACACACACACACACACACACACACACACACACGCAGCACGCTTGAGGTCTCGTGGAGCTCATTAAGATAACATTAGTGGACCCTAACAAAGCACAGCAGGCTCTGTCAAACGGCAATGATAATTGTGGAGTTTCTGTGTGTGTGTGTTTGTGTGTGTGTGTGTGTGTGTGTGTGTGTCAGGAACCAGGGGCAGAAAACAGAAAAACTCCAGAGCTGCTTTCCAGGAAAATTGCAACTATTATTTATTTTTGATGTTCCAGTTTCCTTACAGCTGCCAACGACTGAGCCTGTGATGAACATGGTCTATGATGTTTTCTGCATGTACAGTATGTTAGCCAACCCTTGGCTCTCAACAAAGACAGAGGTAAAGTGGGGTTCTTATTTTGGCTCTGACAAAGCATCTCCTTGTCAAAAAAGAAAAATCCCAACTCGCTTTGTATTTAAAGTCGTCAGGTCAAAGCTGCTCTGCTGGACAACACTGAAATGTAACACACCTCTTCACTTCATTGTGAGCTCCAGATGTTTGTAACTTACCAGGGGAGTTCTGTGGTGAGGAGGCAGGCGAACAGCGAGGAGAGAAGCTGAAGCCGGGGTGGATGGGGTGAGGTGGAATGTAGGACATGATTTCTTCTTCAAATAAACTGAAGGAACAAGAGACAGAAAAACAAAAACTTCACTGCATTACATCGAGTCCAAGCAGAAGTTGTCGGTGAGGTCGTTACTGTAAAGAAACTACAGTTTGAAGTCAGTGGCGTTCTTTACCTCAACAGGATGACCAGGTCTGCGTCACACGACAGCTTCTCCACCCCCTGGGTACCTTCAGTCCGGATGTAGTGGATCTTCTCCCTGGAAACAAGAGTCAGATTCAATCACTTGTTCAAGTAAATATCTGGAGTACTGAGACCCACTCTCTCTGACGATCCAAACCAGCCGTCAGGACTTCTGGAACTTTGTGATGTCACAACAAAGCAGTCACCAAGCCCCGCCCACCTGGACCCACCATCCAAACCTTGCAGGATTTGGTTTCTCTGAGTGTTTTTACCTGAAATCTGCTTTATTTTTATTGGATCACTTAGAAAACAGTCAGCCAAACAAATACATCTTCTTATGGAGCGACACTTCAAATAAAACACAGAAGAAGAGGAAAATAAAGTTATTTTATGGTCTAAAATTACATGACTGATTCAATCAATCATCCTCACATCCTGTGTTACCAGTAGATTAGAAGGAACAAACACTCTCACACTGTGGATGTAAACTGTCAAATCATACTGTCAATTATTCCTTCATGTTATAAAGCAGCGTAATCCTTCTAGACCGGCACGATTCATGTCAACAGTATTTAGACAACCCCCTTCAGTATGTTTAACCACTTGTCTCCAAACCCCCTTCACCTTGTTTGAGTTGGTGGGTGTTTGTCATGCGTCTTTTTGCTTTACCTTCAGTGTAAGAAGCATTTCCTTCATCTTACTTTGTTGGGATTATGATGTATTTAAAATTGATATGAAAGCTAATTAATGTTGTTTAATCCATTTGTTGTTCTGTTTGTTAATCATGAAGTAAGGCTAATTATTATTTGAAACATTTATGGTATTCCTATGTGTAATATTTATGATTTAAAGGCCAGATATTGTAATGTTTTTCTCCTTTGAACCATGGCAAGCATCCTGGAAATCAACATTCCCGTTAAATAAACAGAACAATTGATTGCAACACTTGTTTCCTGGCGGTTTGTGGCTTCAGTTAAAACCTCAAGTGCACAACATTAGAAAGAATGGTGTGTCTTTGATTGTCTAAAGTGAACTGGAAGCATCACATTAGCTTCAGATAAATGTGCTTTTCTATGGAGCGTGTGTAATAACAGTAATACCTGAGGGCATGGTTTCTGCTCAGGCTCGGCTGTCGCTCCTGCAACATGTCAAAGATGTTGGGCTGTCGGAGGAATGCCACGATCTTGTCATTGTAAGCTGGTGAGGGAGAGACGGAGACATTAACACAGTCATCAGAAAGAACAGCTCATGTTAATCTGGCCGATCCAGGCTTCAGATTAATAATACGACGTTACGACGGCGCCTACATGGAGCGTTCCCTTGCTGTGAGTCACCGTGATGTTGGCTTCGGATGGCGGCCACCAGACTGTTTCCAGGCCGGGCCATCAGAGAAGCTCCACGACTCCTGGACACGTCAGAGGCCTGAGAACAAACACAAACATGAATTGTGGTCGTTGACTCTTAATTTAATTAATTAATTCTTTATTTTCATTCTTGTCGACAAAACTGAAAACGAAAGCACCAAATTAGCAATAAATGTGTCCTGCTAAAAAGTACAGTGTGTGTATCTGAAGCCTGACACAAATTCTTGTCTCCTAAAAACAATTAAAAACACATCAGTGAGCCAAACTGTTGCACTGAGCGTTTCCCCCAGTGTGATTAATGCTCGTTATAAACAGTGTCCAGCTGTTTTTAAGAAAATGAAACTATATATTTGTTGCCTGTTTTTTAGGGCGTCACAGACTAACACATTGTTTGTTTTGGTCTTAAATAACAATGAAGAAAACAAGCAATTTAAGAATGTGGCAGCCTTATTGTTTAAAACACAAACAGGAAGTAAAATGTGCCGCAGTAATTATTTTTCAAGTTGCATCTTGTTCTGAATTGTTGTTCTGATTGAATGTGTGTAGAACTGATGTGTGTGCACAGTACCTCGCCTGCGCTGTAGCTGCGTAGTCTCTGCAGGTGTTGTCTGTGGGCGAGGTGTCCAGGCAGCCGGCCGTTCTGCAGCGGGATCCGAGGGTCGATGAAGGTCGTTGCTCGACTGTTGTGGTCCACGAAGAACGACTAAGAGACCGGAGAAAAATCATATTAAAGCGATTTAAAGTTTCAGGTTAAAATTTGACAAAACATTGTCTAAAGGTTTGCCACAAAAACTATGATGTTGTGCCTCAAATATGAGCGTGTGAGGCACGTGTGTGTGTGGATTTACTGGTTGTACATTGAGTGTGTAACTTCAGCTGCACATGACAGACTGTAACTGCAGCTGAAAACAATGCAAGTGTTCTGTCCTTGGTTCATTCTGCTTTGTTGGCCTTTCCAAGTGTGACGCACCGCCGACTATCAGGCATCAACATCCGCCCGTCCAACAGAGCCACTAAAAGGTCACTCTCTGTGTAAGGTCATTGTACCTTGCCCTGGGGGTCAGTCTTGATCTCCCAGCCCCTCGGCAGCTCCAGCTGGGTGTCCGCGAACTTGTTGAGGAAAACCACCAGGTCCCGGTTGTGTTGGTAGCGCTCGAAGTTCCTGGCGTCGCGACGCACCTTCAGTATCATGTGTTTGACACAGCTGCTGCTGGTGAACATCCGGTAGGCTGCCTGGAGGACGTGTGCAGTAATAATTAACACACACCAACTGAGCAATATCCCTTTTCTGCTGCTAGTTTTGTTGTATTTTTTGTATATTTAAATATCTAATTGTACATGTTATATTGTTATCTACTATTTATCTTGTTTTTAAGTATTTTATATCGTCATTTTGCAGTTTTTCTTTTCTTTGTACTGTCACTCTGCTGCTGCAACGCTGCACATTTCTCCACTGTGGGACTAATAAAGTACCATCTTATCTCATCTCATTTAGAAAAGTTGATAAAGTCCTGCAGCGCAGACAGAAATGTTGTTTTGATCTTATTGTGTCTGTGGATTTATGACAGTGTGTGTCTATCTAAAACAGATGTTTTCCTCAATGTTACACTGAATATAAAAATTAGCTGTTTTATCAAAGTCTTCATGCAGATCAATATTAATCACTATTGAATTTTAAACCAATCACTGTCCCTTACACTACATCATTTTATTATCTTATCATGAGAGCCTTGTCCATGTTTGTCTGTATAAATGGTCTATTACTGTCTGTTGTAAATGTATATTATTTTTTTCAAATTAATTTTTGACGCTGAGATTTGACATCTGATATTTCAAAGTTAAAAATCTGAATTACATTAAAGGATATCTTTGGCAATATTCTATATCTTTTTTATTGTAATAAAAGTCTTTATACTTCCTGACTTCCTCAGCTCTAAGAGCGTTGACTCCTAGTGAAGATAAAAACCTTTACAAACAGTTTCATTTTAATGATCTCCTAAAACAACTGGTTTTGTTTGGGACTATTTTCAGTGGCGGATTAATCCACATTTGGTCACGTGAGTATTCGGGGCAGCAGGACAGTGGACGAGGGATTGAGTCAGAATAAACTACAGTGTGTGTTCATGTTAACAAACAGAGGCTCAGAGGAATTAGAATATTTTCCTGTCTTTTCATGGGATTTGTTGATCACAGATAAATATAAAATCACCACATGTATTGATTACATTCATTGACCAGTGCTCACATAGTTACTGTGCAACACAGTGAAGAACTCTGGGTGTGTGATGAACTTGACAGCAGGTGATTGGAGGAGGTGGCTGATCTTCTGGTGACTGACAGGAGAGGCGGGGCCTGCGGACAGACAACAGGTAAGTCGCTCTTTACTCTAATGTCAAATATGTTAAATTACATTACAGTGAGAGAAAGTTTTATCTTTATATATTTTATGTAATGAAAAGTGATGATGATGTGACTTCACGGTGTGAAGAGGGTCGGTCGTGTACCTGTCGGCGCAGGTTCAGAATCCGTCTCTGTGCTGCTGCTCCGCTCTAACCTGGGACCCCCTCCCTCCTCCTCGGTGGCCATGGTCCTCTGGATGCTCTGGTACCTGTGCAGACAACAAGCCGTCATCTTACAGGAGAGTGGAGGATGAAACGTGGATATTTCTTTGGCTTGGGAAGAATTAGTGGGTTCTTAAAGAATATCTGCACCTTTCACACGGACAAAATGTTCAGGGCTTCTTGCACTCAAACGAACATGTAATATATTGCGGCTGTGTGTATTGTTAATGTATTGAGCTGGTTTGAATTCCATCTCCAGTCACCAGATGTCAGCATCACTCCACCACAGGACCTTCTTTTCTTCACTCCTCCTTTTCCTTCACTCACTTTTCAGTTCAAAAACATTTTCAGGTTGAAAAAAACACAACAGTACCAATATATTAAGACGAAAACTGAATGATGTAATGGTAAAAATCAAAATGATTGCCACCACCAAGACAGAATATTTGGTATGGTAAGTATTTATAACAAACTTCTCTACTTAAACAAAATCACATTATTTTATCCTGTTACATCATGAAACGTTCTGGTTATTACAATTAAATCAATGCATCTCGTTTTAATAAGAAACGTTTCTAGTAATAACACGGTCTAGTCTCAGTCTGACCTCCTGTTGAGTTGTTCCATCTGCTGGGTGGACCCTGAGCGGGGGATGCCGTGGTTACACTTGCCGCCGTGGCTCGGCCTCTGCCAGGTCGTCGTCCTGTTGACGTGGTCCACGTAGAAAACTCGGCCGTGGCTGTCGATACGAGCTTCCCAGTCTGAAGAGACAGAGAGAGGAGGCGGAGAAACGGAGGAAAGTCAGTCACTATGCTGCGTGTCAAATTATAAGATCTGAAGCCGTCTTTCAACAGTTCACACAGTGAGACACACGGCATTATTTCTGTCAACAAGCTGATTCCAGCTGTTTGTCATAAAACCAAAAAGGAGTGCCGGCCCGGAGATCACCAGGACGTTCAGATCAAACTGACTGGTGGTAAGATTCAAACCTACAGAGCAAACGTCTGAAGAATATACAGTTTAAAAAAATCTAAATGTTTCATACTATGTGGGAATAACACTGACATACTGTTTATGCTTTATGGGGCTAATGTTTGTTAACTACTTCTGCATCATCAGAATCCATTTGGAGTTGAGTTTGTCTCCATCTGATGAACCTACGTTTATATTTATAATCACTCTCTGCTAGAGCTCATGATAAAATATCTGGCTCTGCTCAGCTGTGTTACACCCAGTTAGCATCTGACTGTGTCTGTGACGGAGCAGGTGTTGTACAGTGGGTTTATCAAAGCTTTTTCACTGAGAACACCTGCACTGATGAGAGATGGAGTCAAACAGTAAAGTTGGAGGTTGTAAAACCAAAACAATGATACTAAAATATTCATACAGCTGAGAGGAACTGCAGCAGAGCTGATTCTCTGTGGTTTCATCGCTTGTCATCTGACCCATTGTTTATATCATATAAAATATTGAGTACAGCAGCTTTAAAATCCTTTAAAGCTCCTAGTGTAAAGGTCTGTGTCCATGTGTAGTGTGATTATAGATCAGGTCTAGCTTCTATATTAATACTGTGAAAGTATCAAAGCCTCAGTCCACAGAGAAATGCACACAGCCTGTATTCAGAAACTGAGCCTTAAAACCAGCCATCAGGACTTCTGGAACTTTGTGATGTCACAACAAAGCAGTCACCAAGCCCCGCCCACCTGGACCCACCATCCAAACCTTGCAGGATTTGGTTTCTCTGAGTGTTTTTACCTGAAATCTGCTATATTTTTATTGGATCAGTCAGAAAACAGTCAGCCAATCAGAAGAGAGGCTCAGAGCCTCCTCTCAACACTTAAAATAAAACACAGAAGAAGAAGAAAATATGGAGCTTTAACATATCGAAAAACAGTTTCTTAAGACATTAAACTTTTCTATAATCATGTTTCAAATGTCTTGTGACCTGCTTTAGTCTCATGTTTCATAGGGACTGTATGAATATTATTGGGGTGGGGAGGTGGTGAACATCATGTTTCACTTTTTAAAATGAAACATCGTTGGTTAGTTAAACTCAATAATTTTCCTACAGTCCCTTAAAACACACTGACTTCTACTAGAAACAGTCAGTAATAACAACTCTAACAAAAGTTCCAGTGGTTAAAACAATGACACTAGAATTTGTTTCTTCAGGAACAATCAACTCTTGTTTGTAGCTTATAGATCATATTGATCAGCTGATTTATGAAGGATTCCATAGGAAACAGTTTTGGTGACTTTTGTGGTTTGAGGAGATTTGAATTGTCGTTGTTGTTGTTGTTGTTGTTGTTGTTGTTGATGCCACAGTTTGGAAGTCATTCAGCTCGTAAACGCTCGCAGTGTGAAACAGGGAGCGTAGCAGCTTGTCTCAGCTCTGACTAACTGCTGTGGGAGGAGGAGGAAGATGAAGACTACCCCCTCAGGACATAAACACCCTTTATTGGCTGTCACGACTGCTCTGCCCACACACACACACACACACACACACACACACACACACACACACACACACACACACACACACACACACACACACACACACACACACGCACACACACACACACACACACAAACACACACACACAAACACAGAGACAACAACTTCTTCTTGCCAGTCCTGACCAACAGGAAGTTAGTATTCCTACCTTGTCTCTGTGGCCTCATCAGGCTGAAGGTGGTCTGGGTCAGGTTTTTAAGTGATCTAATAATGACACTCACTCTCTGTGTGATTGTGATCAGGCTTCATTCTCGAACACAAAGTGCAGTCGAGTGTCACTACATGTAAATGTGGTCGTGTGCCTGGATGTGTTGTAAGTGGATTCAGTCCACGGTGTCAGATGCTCGAACACAGATCTACAAGCCGCTTATCAGCTGGAAAGTACTCGACCAACTCACACAGTGACCGGCCTCCTCATACTGGAAGTCAAGGAGGAATCAACTTCACACTGGTTATATTCTGTAGGACGGTGATTGTAGGCTACAATATGAACTTTTAGCCTGTGTTTGTTCACATCTTGGGAGAATTACGAGAACGCAGGATTTTTTCTGTCAGTGTTCGTCATGTTATTCCTGGAAAAACCTCTGGAAAGTGATTTCTATGATTTCTAAGTGGATTTAATGGACTTTTATTTGCAATGGACATCAGAGATAATGACATCCTTGTGAAGTGTAAGTCAAACTGAATCTAAAAATGAATGCATCATGTCTGTGTGTTCAGATTTGACAGTTATGACTCCATGGACTGTGATTTATGACACTAATTGATGCACAATCTGGCACTAAAAGTTTTAAAGTACTGTCATTTTTTAAGGTACTTTCTAGGTGGAGGAGAAAATGTCTAGTTATCAAATCAGGTCTGAATCATCGGTGGGTAGTAAAACAATATTTTCCTCAACTTCAGACACGACAACATTCAAGGATATAAGAATATTTTTCATGTTGAGCTCGTGTTCATGAAACAGGAAGCAGCAACAGGCTCTGTTAGTTCAAAACTTCAAAACTTTCCACAGTTGTTTAGGCTCTGCTGCACATCCTCATAGGACTATTCAACACTAGTGTTAATTTCTGAGGATGCACAAAACCAGTGCAGCTGAAGAACGCAGGTTAATATGTAGCTGAGGCCGAGCAGAGATGTCCTGACCGGGATCAGGGCCGATCCAGGCACATTTGAACGGACTGGTATCGGCTAAACTAAAGCTGATCGCACGTCGATCCTTTCACTGCTGAACGTGCTGGTGTGAGAGACTCTGAGTTCTGATGCCTGGACTCGTTAAGCTCTGTCTTTCTCATTAGCAACGTAATGTACAAAACATTCAAGTAGAAGCTTGTTATTTTCATATGAGGAGTCGCTAATTAACATTAATTCCATGAGTGATTTGATGGCAGGACAAAGCCAGAGATCATTTTGTGTGGGTGTCTATGAGTACTAAACTTTCACTCATATTAACATGTTAATTAATATTCATTTAAGCTCCTAAGCTTCTGTATTTGGATCAACTAGGTCCCGGAATTTAGTCAGATATACATTTAATCAACATCCAGGTGAATATAAGCTTCAGATCAGATGTTAAAGAACTTGGATGTGTTTGAACTTGGAAACATCCAGAGTTAACAACAGAAACACTTTAACCAGTGACATGGGTGACGTGTCTATCAGCATCATCATCTCCTGTGAGTTCAACTTATTTGTTTTATTTCCAAGAATGAGGAGGACAGATGGACACCACTCTCCCGTCTGTCATGGTTAGCCTAGCTTAGCATGTCCACAGCTCAGAAATACACCTTTCAGCACCTGTAAGGCTCAGTAATTAACCCTTTGTATGTCACCAACAGAAATGTAAAAAGGTTAAACCTGGCAACCTCACTGTGACATCAAGTCTTCTGCTGTTCACCAGGAAACAGTTCCACATGCATGGATTAAACAGATGGAAGTGTTGACAGGTGTATGTTGGAGGGAACCTGACTCAGCATCTACAATCATTAAAATAACGGCACAGTGTTTAGGGACTCCTAGTTGGATACTCATGTGGAGTGGAGTTTGGGACCAGCGATCCCTCCAACCAATCAACACCGAGTTCAAATCCAACCATGAACCAAGCATAAAGCATAAAGCCCAACATGTAAAACTAAAGGAGAGTGTGAGGAGGGACAGTGACATGATGATGGAGAACAGAGAGGAAGATGGGATGTGTTTGGAAAGTAAAGGAACATGGCAGCATGCACACACAAACAGCCACACTCACAGCAAACCAAGGTGATGGGATGAGACTCCAGAGTAAGACTGGGACCTGTTGGTTCTTACTTGGAGGTAAGGCTTGGTCAGTGGCAGCAGGAAAATGGTTTAGGTCATGGCTGGGTCGCAGGACTGGAAGATGGCCAACAGGAGGGGAGAAGCCTGAGCCTACAGGACATCAGAGAGACAGTACGGGATAGATTACCATAATGTTGGGGAGACACTACGCCAAACTAGGAGACTCTGAGACGAAGAAAAGGCTTGACATCGCAGAAGAATTTACAGTATTTTTGGCCACTTGTGGGCCGTGGAATAAACTCTAAACACTGACATATCATCACCATGTTACGTTATAGCAAAGGTGTTAGCAAACTTACACATCCAGCAGACACAGAGCAATATTAGCATTAATCTGGAGTTATGTTTTAGGCCACCTGGCAAATTAAAGTCCAATATTCACTCTCCTTTTAGCTCTGGTTTGGTCTCCACCATGCAATGAGGGGGACGTCTCAACCTCTTTGGTTGCTAATAACTGGTCTGTGTCCATCAGCTAGCTGCTAACTCTTTCTGTCTGCTGCTTGATGTTGGGCAGGAAGTGACCAGTGACTTTAGTTAGAGTTGTAAAACCAAAACGATGAGGCTGAAAGAGGCTTAAATGCTCTGTACGGCTGAATGGAGCAGGAGAGTTGGTGATAATTCTTTAAACATCCCACAGTTTCCATGCACAGATCAGATGCTCAATGCCAGTGATTTAAAAATATAAACCAGGTTTTTCATCATCACTGTTCTTTCTTGTGATAACGTTGGTAATTCAGATTGATTATGTGTCCTCACACTTACACACTCTTCCTGTCGCCTCACTATAAGCTGCACTCTCATCGGCTTTTGGCAGTTTCTTTGTAAATACTCTCTGAAAGCATTTCCACCTGCTATTAGAGCTCTACTTGAGACTGAATACGAGATCCGGATGAAGGAAAATGTGCGTTAATGCAAAGTGGGAATAAACAGAACATGCTTTGAGATGGGAGTACGGGAGGATCAGCTGCAGTCGGATTTGGTGTAAAGTGTAATCCACACAATGCTATCACATTAATGAGGAAGCATTATCACCACGGCAGCAACATGCTCAGAGCAGGTGCATGATTAGAAACATCACTGCAAATGACAGAAACATCACTGTCATCACAGCAGGTAAAAGAATCACAACACAGACACTATGAGTAATCAATGAGACGTTCACGACTTCAGCCAAAAAGCTGGTATAAAGTCTGACAGTAATGATGAGCTCAGATCAGCTACAACACCACAACATCACACCTGCCTCATACTACAACAGTAGAATAAAGAGAAACGACACTGTGAGCACGAGTAACACTGAAAGCAATGAATCAACTATGAGAAACCTCTAAACATCACTGGTGCAGAAACAAAGCTTGATGTAGACTCTGGCTACGTCCACACTGATCTCCGTCCTGACCACCGTTTTAGCTTCGTATCAGAAACGTTCTCCATCCGTATTAACGCCTGAAAACACACACATACATGACCATTCACATACACTGGGCGTGTGCGAGTCGGTGTAAACAGGAAACAGATTGTCTACTACTAAAATACTATGAGTGAGGAACAGCTGCACAGTTAAAATGCAGAATTTAACTGAACAACAGCTGCTAGTAAAGACAACAAGGTCGGTAACACTGTAATTCATTATCATGTTTTATTCACCACTGGCAGTCAAGGCTGATGAGAGCCAATCAGGAGCGACAGTGGGTGTCCATGTCATCGTTTCTAAAGGTCTCTGTTTTTGTTCGTTTTCAAAATAAAACACAAAACCAGAGTTTTAAAAATGAAAACAGGTCCAGCAGAGTTCCTCACGTTCATCACTAAACTCACCTCAAATCAGTGAAACACCTGGACAAGTGAACAGGATTTTGTGACATCACAACGACACTGAAAGCCAGCCGTGGTCCAGTGTGCAGCTTACACAGGTGTGATGTAGAAACTTGAAAACCTCCAGGTCACAAACTCTGAGAATGGACTTTTCAGGGAAGCTGAACGTTCAATAATATCATATATCACGATATTTAAGATGGACTGTATCGAGATATTTTGATACATATATACATTTAAATCCTTATAATGTCATATAAGACAATAATCTATAAGATTTATAATTATAATGTACCTAGCAATAATCAGCTTATAATATAAGCCTAATTAATGACAATAATCAATCATGTTTTCTTCCAGAGCTGCTGTCCAGTACTACACACCCACAGGTCCAACGTGAGCTCCAACAGTTTTATCCAAAAATAACACTGAGACAGTGACACTCACTCTGCAGATTTCTTTAAATAGCTACAACTCAGCACTTACTGCAGCATTACTCGCTCACTTCCTCGTTTATTCTGCTGCATGTTGGTCTTTTACCTTTTGTTTACGTCACGCTGGAGGAGGGAGAAGACCCACATTCTCTCTTTGTAACACCCACGCGATCCAAAATAATTTCCACTTATGGTTTAAAAACGAATCTAATCAGCACAGCAACGAGTATTTCACACCTAACATACATTAGTTGAACTGGTGTGAATGCATCATATCTGTGTTACAGTACAGAGATGTTAGAGAGACTCCAGGCTCTGAAATGATGTAGTTGATGAAAGAGAGAAATGCCAGATATATATTAAGGGCTTCCCCGTTTAAAGGCCATAACAGGCTAAAGTATGTGGAGAGATTCTGAGAATAAGTATACATTTTATTTTCAAAATAAATCTTCAGGTGCAGAATGTGTTGTTGTGTTTTGATGGAACAGGAGGGTAAAAAGAAAAGAACAAACCTGGCAACCAGTCTTGCAGTGCGCTGATTACATTTCACAGGAGGGAATTTCATTTTGTTTCTGCAAGAATATGTGTGGGGGTGTATCTATGTGTGTGTGTGTGTGTGTGTGTGTGACCTACTTTTGAATCGCAGTCTACACCAGCCATCATGTGAAAAGCACAAATACAGTATAAAACATGAAGAGGTATCCAGTGAAACAAACTGGAGGTCTTCTACACCGACTGAAACTAAAGGTGGAAACAGTTTACAGTCATTTTTCTGCTGGTGGATTGTTTGTGCACATTAATCACCGTAATTGGGTTTTTCTCTGAGTGTGTTTTTATTTTGATTCAGGAATCTTAGTTTTATTTGAGGGAGATTTATGTGAGCCCCTTTCACACGTGGTGGCTTTATTTATTCATCTGATTAATGTTAAAGGCCTCTCAGATGTTTTCAGATGCAGGTGTCCATTAATTAACAAACATCTTGCAGACATGATTCTCTCCTGATCATCTCACAGTCAATTCCCTGATAAATCAGTTTCATCGTATATATAATTCTACTGCCTGTTTTACGATCTGACAGCGCAAGGCAGTTAAAACTGACTGGGTTGATCATAATTATCAAATTAAGAATTTTGATTGATTAATACTATCAGTTAAACTGAGTGTGGGTCTCACATTAACAGACTGACATCAGACATGTTGCTGTTTCTGAATAGAAACCAGTAGAGAGCCGTCGGCTCTGCTGAGGACTGGGGTTGGCCTGCTCTGTTTATTTTATTTTCAGATGCCAGTCTGACTTCGTGTCGTGTGAGCAGCAGCCCGGCTGTTCACACCAGACACTCGTTTCTCCTCTGGTCAACAAGCGATTCTGTTCCTCTGCTCTTTTTTAATCACATCAGCTGCTGTTTATAATGACATCATGAATTTATAGCATAAAGTTTTTTATGTGTTCCTGGATCAGTGGCGTGACGGCTCTTAAAGAACCATGAAGATCTGCTGGGAGGGGCTTATCTCCTGCCTGTGTGTGTCCTCGTCTGCCTCGCTCTCTGTTAAGACACTCCTGTTCGCTCCGCTCCACTTTAACCTTTTTGTATTGGTATTATGCTGTTCTGTTTAAATTGTCATAAAATACAGTTCTTGAACTTCATAATTCCCGCCATTTGCATCGCTAGGCAACAACTAGCTAAACAGGACAGGGTTCACAAGGCTCGGCCAGGAGTTTTTAAGGTTTTAAGTCGACAGTGGAAGAGAAATTTAGTGATGCTTAAAAGCCAGTGCAGCATTTAGCTAGTTACTAGTGAACTGTCTTTCTTTCCCGCTCACACTCTCTTTTCTCTCTCCCTCCTCCTGCAGGATCAATTCATGTTATTATGTTTGACTTTTATAAAATAAACTTGACTTGGATGCTTACTCACTAGTCCGACATGAACAGCTGCCAGCAGGTGCAGCTCAGACAGGCGCTTAACAAACAGACAACACCAAACATCGTATGTGACAACAACAGCACAGCCCGGTGCTCTCTCAGACTGAGGCTGAGTCCAGCAGACAGCCAATAAGAAGGTTTTATCTCACCGATGCTGTTCCTGTCGCTGGGCCCGGCCACAGCTGGCTCCCCCTGCTCTCCCCTCCTGGCTTCCTTCCGCCTCCCCGTCCTCCTCTCTCCTCCTGCCCCGCCCACCTCCTGGCCCTCCGGCGTGTTGCCGGCATCGATCACCGGCTCAAAGGCGCTCTCCTCGTCATCGTCTTCGTCCTGGGAGGAGAACACGGTGCTGCCGGAGAGTCTGTTGCTGTCCACCGAGGAGAGGCGGGTGTGGCTGCAGAAGCGGCTCCGCCCCTCGTAGCCAGAGTTGCTGTAGCACGACGTGCTGTAACAGGAAGTGCTGTAGCAGGAGGTGCTGTAGCAGGAAGTGTCGCAAAACTCACACTCGTTTTCAACCGGTGGTCTGTGGGTGCCCCCGCCGACTCTTCTTCCTCCTCCGTTACTGGAGTCGCCCTCTTCGCTCTCCAGGCAGGAGGGGGAGATCCGCCTCACGGCCGCGTGTCCTCCTTCGCCTTCCAAGAGCTGGTTCAGCTCAGAGAGGCGTTCGATGGAGAGGCTGCGGGGTAGAGAGCGACGGCAGCAGGGACCCGGACACTCCGGGACCTGTACATATATAAAGACACAAACGTTTAACTGTCTTTGCACAAACAACAAACTAACTATTTCATGCTGATCTTTAAAAGTTGGTCATAAAAAAGTGAAAATTTTGCATTTCAGCTTTGTGTGTTTGGCTCTGACTAAATAATTCTGTCGGCTTTAGGGCTCTGTAGCTTTAAGGGATCTGTGATGGTGGTAGGGGGGGCATGTAGGGCTGGGACAAGGTTTGCCAATTCCTAAAAGCCCATGTGAACTTCATTTCGAAGTCCGTCACTGGCTGTACCTGAGAGGGAGACTGGGTTGTGTCCTCCTCTTCCTCGTCCTCCTGCCCCTCCTCCTCTCTGTCTTTGGAGGTTTTCAGCGTCGGTGATGTGGAGGTGGTGTCCTCAGTGGTGTTCGTATTCTCTCCGTCCCCGGCCTCTTCCTCCTCCTGGCTGGGAGGTCTCTGTTGGGCCGAGGGGAGGCTGTGCAGGAGGTGGTGGATGCGGATGTAGTGGGACCGCGGTGTCTCCGGCTCGCCGCAGGCTGAGGCGATCACCGTCTCCAGCTCCGACACAGGGAGTGAGCAGGGGCGGTTTTTGCGGCGTGAGGGAGCATGGGAGTTGTAGTTTGAGAAGAGGGACTGGCAAGCGCAGGGGGCGGAGCTTCTCTCTCCTCCCTCCGTCACCTCCTGCGGGGCACCTTCAGTAGCTTCTGCAGGAGCCTCCTGGGATGTGGTGTTTTCCTCTGTGGGCGCCTCTGCAGTCGGGGCCCCGTCGTTTGTTGTTACGGCTACAGGACGGTCAGAGTCCGGCTTTGGCTGAGTTTCCTCCCCAGCCTCCTTTTCTTCTTCTGTTATCTCCTCAGCCTGGGCTGCAGACTCCTCTCTCTGCGCCTCCTCTCCTTCCTCCTGCTGCCTTTCCTCCTTTCCTCCCTCAGCCTCCTCCACTCCACCGCTCTCCTCCTGCGGTTGAGCTGTGGCCCCCTCCTCCTGCTCCACCTGGGGCCCTGCAGACGCTGGCTCCTCCCTCACTGTGTTCTCCTCCTCCACGGCTCCAGGCTCCACCCCTGATGATGCCTCCACCTCCTCCACCTCCTCCCCCTCCTCCTCAGCAGCAGCAGCAGCAGCAGCAGGTTGGACCTCCTCGGGTGGGGCCTCCTCAGCTGTGGAGGCAGGAGGCTCGCAGGTCTCAGGGTCAGGAGGGGCGTCCAAGGGGAGGTCGGGCATGTCAGGACCCACACTCAGAGTGTCGTCATCAGGCGCCTCAATAGCGTGGTTGACTTCTGCTGCATCGTCGCCGTCAGGAGCGGCCGGCTCTACGACCAGGGAGACCTCCTCATCATCTGAGAGGAGAAGAAACGTGTTTTCATCTGTTTGACAGTTGGTGCTTTCGAATCAGGTTGTATTCACACACATGAATAACTCACAGGATGAGACTACGAACAAGCAGAGCCACAGATATCGTCTTTTTATTCCTCACGTTCTTCTACATTACCCACAACCCTCAGCTCAACCGCCGACAAAGAGTCGGGTGTGTTTTGCTAGTAGCTGCTAATGTAGCCTGGAGGCTCTTCTTTCTAACTTTTTCTTTTTCAAACATATTCTGTAAAATAAGTGGAGTTCTGCTTTAAAAATGACACAGCCACAAAAAAGCTAATTTCTACTTCTTGTACTTTTCTTGTTTCTTGGTATTGTGCAGATCCTGATAGATTTTCGATAGATTTTGATGGGCACAGCTGGAAATCTTCACATTTGTGTTCATAGATCATTAAGACAAATGGATGTACACCTTCAACGCTCGTCTTATAGAATCTAAATCCAGCATCAAATCCACTTTACAATCCCAGTCCTTCTCAATCCAACTAGGTTCAGCTTTAATGCACAGGAGAAAAGTTAAACTATCTGACACTCAAAGATTAAACTAAAACACTACTGTCTGTATACTGGAGGTTTAATGTTATTGAGCTACAGCTGATATAAACTGCAATCAAACCTGTTCACACTGATTGGTCATAGTGAACAGATACAGTTCACATGGGCAGATAATGATACAGAGTCTGAGAGGGAAAACATATTTGATATTTCTGGTTTTAGATAAATAATGTTAAAATAATTAACACTGAGACTGGAGAGTGAGATAAACAGTAAGTCTGTCCATGCAGCTGGACGGTCTGATGCCTCATGTACCTGGGTGGATGGAGGAGGTCAGCTCAAAGCGGAACTGCAGCTGACCGCAGACGTGATCTGTCGGCAACCTGCGACCCAGAGAATAACTCACCACCCGATCCCTGCACACCAAAGACAGAGAGAGTGAGTCAGGGAGGGAGAGGCCGGGGGAAGATAGGAGAACTGAAAATGCAGATGGTGTTATGATATATACAGTAATAAATAATATTGAAAACCTGTAGTAGAGAGAATGCACATATGTCTGGTCTCTGAAGACGTCACAACAAAACCCTCTGCATGAATGTTGTATGGTCTGTGTCTGTGTTTTTACCCAATGGCGTGTTTTTCCAGGAGCCTCTGGACGGGGACAGAGAGCTTCCCCAGGAAGCGCTTGATGATTGGACGACTCTTGGCAAACTTGTCCTTCACCTCGATCTCCAGGACGTCAGTGGGCAGAGACACAAAGGTAAACCTCTGGAGACACACAGACAGAGGAGAAGACGTCTTCAGGGTTAGGGAGATGTTATGATGATATTTGTCTCTGCACTACAAGCAACTTTAAAAATGACTTTCATATAACTATTTATCCAGTAAAATATACGGCATGTTTTGTATCTGGAAAACATTAAATTCAAGCATCATTTGAGACACATTTGTGCAAAATTTCACGGCAGTTCGTCTCATTGTTGTCGACATATTTTCAGTCTGGACCAAAGTAGCGTGGCCATCCTGAGAGTCATGCTGTTAGCACGGCTACAGAGTCATGCTATCTGCACTGCAGGTTCCAGGTCTCCACATCACAGTTGTATCAGCGGACTCTAGAGTCTGTGGGGGCCCTCTAATCAGCATTCATCACCATCATGTAATAAATAATCTGACACCAAGGAAAAATGTAAAAAATGGAAACTTCTTTTTAAATTCCAAATGTTTACAATGGTAGAATTTAAAAAATATAAATACAAAGAACAATTAAAACCAAAATAAATAACTAAACAAGGTTTGGTCAGGTTTTAGTGTGATAGGACCCAAAAAAAAGAAACTTACAAGATCGATCCAAAAAACACAGATCACAGGTAAAACAGAAGCAAAACAGAAAATCCAAAAACACTTTGAACACGGGAGCTGGAGACACAGGGATTACATGCCCTGTGCTGCCCTGCCTGTTCACAAGCCGAGCCTCTGGCTGCAGGTACGTCCAGGTGTTAGAGTGAGATTGAAGGTGAGAACAGAGGAACTCCAACACCACAGTGAAACATGTGCTTGTCTTGACTGTAGATTCACCAAGCAGAGAAACTCGGCAATAAATCCTGTCCTTGTGCAACGTAGAAACTTTAGTTTTGCTGATATTATGTCATGACGAATAGAAACGCTCATTTCTGTCTAAACCTGTTTGGGTTTTGAATTCTCCACAACATATTATTTCGTGTATATTCAGTCTCATTCTTGTAAACCGAGAACAAAGACCTTCATGTGTCTCTTCTCTGTTATTGACTCTCGTTTGTTCTGCTGGATTAAAATATCTTTCCAGAGCTTTGCACCCACTTCATTTAGAGCTCTTTCTTTTCTCCAAGCCAATCAGGCATGCATGTGGTTTTAGTCTGAATGAAATAATGAATCTCTCTCTCTCTCTCTCTCTCTCTCTCTCTCTCAGTGGGGGTCTGATCGCTGTCCAAGCTTCTTAAACGTTGCTTCAGAGCCTTGGAGTTAACTGTCCAAATCCTCCGAGGCTTTGCCCACACCTACCAAAATAAAACTCAGAGGAAACACTGAGAGAGAGGCTCAAACACTTTGAGACCACCTTCTAAGTTTCTGTCATTAAGTGAATATTGGCAAACAAACATGAAGCTATTTCAAGTTTTAATCCAAAAATAGCCATGTTGGTACATCCTTCAAAAATAGACTGAATGATATTATTTATGTCTCGTTTGTTTATTGTCATCTCTCCTTCGTGTCGGTCTGCTGTGATACGTGACAGCTGGATGTTTACATTGCTTTAAATATTATATGCAGACACTTTATTCTCAGTCTATGTGCTGCCTCCTTTTCCTTCACTGGATCATTTCAGTAGAGTCTTATAATCTCAATATCTCTTAACTATCACTACCTATCAATTTGTCTTGTTATTAACGATCTATTATTACAAGTACAATCAATATAGATGTGGCTGATATGTAAAATAGCAAGAATTACACTAATGCCTGTCCATATGATTGCATATGCACTTCTTCACATTTTTTTTTTTTCTTAAAGTGATATTTTTTTTTGGGCTTTCTTTAAATGTCCTTTTTTAAATGGACAGCACAGTGGAGAGTGACAGGAAACGGGGAGGCAGAGAGAGGGGGAATGACATGCAGTGAAAGGCCGTCCGATGCGGGATTCGAACCGGGGCCGACTGCAGCGAGGACTGTAGCCTCTACACATGGGGCGCCTGCTTAAACCACTACGCTACACGACGCCCCCTTCTTCACATTTTTGTGGGTATTAAGATCGAACTTGTGTGTTTTTTTAATCAACCCATCAATTAACATTATAATAGTATAGAAGTCGACATCCTTTGTCTCTGTGTCAGAAAAGTGTTTTTATAGTAGGTATTGATGAAGAACTGCACTGTAGAGCTACGCCCTGCCACCAGATCATTTTATACTGGGTATAATATAATATAAAGGCTTCAAATTAAAAACTCACACTGCTGTTTCTTATTAAAATGAAAAGCAGTTACCAGTGTCTCCACTCAGTCCGGTCCTCCACCACAGTCACACACACACACAACGACTCTGGTTAGTGATTCTACACCAAACTATGACATTTAAATCAACTCCATGACTGGGTGAATAAATGGCCAAGTCGGACTAAATACCAATAAAAACCAGAATAAACTGTTTAACATATGGATGCATGAAATGTCGGCTGACTTCAGTGCAGTGTTCAGTAGATTTTAGCTGCTCACCTTGCAACGGAGCTGTACTGTTGCCAGCTACTCTGTTTGTGTGAATGACTCTGGCTGTTGGGTTTGTAAATATGTGCTCTTGTGGGTTTTTCATACTTTATTTAAAGCTGAAGACGACAGACGATGATGATGATGAGGAGATGAAAGCAAACACTAAATGTGGATGAAAAGAGGAGAGGAATGCATCTGTTTGCATGTGGTGAAACGAAATGACTGTGTGATGCTGAGAAGGTGGAAAAATGAAGAGGGGGGGGGGCTGGGCAATCAGTGTGCAGGGTGAAAAAGGAGGAGGAGGAGGATGAGAAGGAGTCAGAGTGAATAATTTACAAGATGAGCCAGGAGGAAGCAGACAGGAGAGACTTAACTTAATAAAGAGGGTGAGAATGTGCAGAGGAGAGAGAGGAAAGAGTCTAATCTGTGGGAAGAGGAGTGGGACGAAGAGAGAGAAGGATGGGATGAGGAGGGGGAGGATCCAGGGAAACTGGAACTGTATTTATCACATGAAAACTGAGATTCAGTTGAGAAAGAACAAATAAGAGTGAGAACAGCCGTCACAGCATTGTTTGAGGTTCTGCCTCCCACTCTGCTGCTCCCACAGTAGGAGGCGGACTTTTGTTACCTTATTAGCGAGATGTCTGATTTTACTGAGGTGGAAATCCCCCTTTCATTCTTTATGGATGAAGGACATTTTTTACTTTGTTGAAATGGAAAAAATGAGATGTACTATGAACGGTTCACTTGCCACATTTAATAAAACATGAGGACGTTTTTATCACATGCTGGTGCTTGTGACTTTAATCAAAAGTCTCCAGACACTTTAATGACCCTTTAGTGGGTTTGTAATGTTTGTTTTTTTATACTTCTGTCTTGTAAATGTTGTATTTATATACGATGACTACTTAGTGACCAACAAGTTCAATTTGTGTTTAGTTTAGTTTTTGATATTAGTTACATCTTTTGCTGTTGCTTTCAATGTTATATTTGACACAACAATGCAACTTGTAATGCAACTGTTTGACATTTTTGTGTTGCAGAAAATCCAATAAATCTTCTCGTGCGCTGGAAAGTGTCGCTTCAGTCTTGAAAAGGAGAACAGCTCATCCTGTGTGCCCAGGTATGTGACAATTAAGCCATAAGTGTGTAATCTGTCTAATCAATCTAAAAACTGTTGGTATCTTGAATGTGCCACAGATGGATCCAAAGAGCATGACTTACCATGGGATCTCATCGGTCAGTCCTTTAGGGGAAGAAGGGGTAAGAACTGTTCAAAGTACCTCTGACGAAGGTCTAGAGAGACCGAAACGTTCGGATGATCAATAAATAGTGATGCTGAGGAAGAGCAGAGTGTGAGATGTTCTTCTTTACGAGACTGAAAGTTCAATAAACAAATCTGGAGAAAAAAGGAAGCTATTTCTAATATTTTAAAAGCAGCTAATGAGACCATGTGATTAATCTCACGTAGGCTCAGACAGCTCCATCAGTACAGCGCTGACATAACGTCAGGACACTGACACTGAACAGTCACAACTGAAGCAGCAAAAGTCAAAGATATTCACTGAGTCAAGCTCCAAAAACCCTGGATCCTATACTCCAGTTTATAATACAGGTTTGACAAAGTATAGCAACACTGATACTGACGATACTGAACAGAGCTTTAGAAGGAGCTGGGACCATGACACAGTATGTACTGTATTTCACAGTGCACCGCAACTTGAGAAAAAACATGCAAATAGACAACACACAAACAAATCCAGAAAACATCTTCATCAGTTTGACAACACATGAGTCAGTACAAATACTCACGACACGACCAACGAATGACTGGGACGCACTTGTTGTTCTTTTGACTTTTGAATTTAAAAGCATAAACAATTTGTGTGCTGGGATGTATTATAATACATCCAAAGATTATAATATATATTAAAGTATAAGTGTTTCCCAGCCAGGCTCATCACTGTTTTGTGTCCCCTGGAAACAGTTCTGTTGTGCTATGAGTATTTGCAGCACGTGTGTTGTCAGTTTTGTGTAAGTTGCAGTGTAGAGCTGCATAATTAATCCTACAGAGACGCAATATCTGCCAAAATAATCACAATATAATTTTTTGGGATATCATGCAGCCATACTGCAGCTTGAGCTCTCAGGGCCACCGTACATATGACTTCCATGTGTAGTTCAATATATTCCCTATACAGTCAAATAAGCTTGTCTGTATTGCGTGAGAGATACGAGACCAGTAAATGGGTCGACAGTCCGGGCCACAGCTACAGCAGCTGCCTTCTGCATCATGATGTGGACATACGCTAAGATCAGTCCTGTGTCAGGGCCGGTCTCTCTCACGTGCAGAAAGGTGGGTAATGGAAACTTCAGCACCACGCAGCAGTGTGACCTACAGCGAGGCACATAATGAGGGACAGTATAGGTTTGCACGCCTCTCTCCACATGAAAGGTATCGATCCTCACATGGTCATAAAGGTCATTTTCATCCGATTTATATTGAGCTTATTACATTTGCAACACATTTATAAAAAGGTGAAAAGATTGAAGGAAGAGGGTTTTATTGGTCTCCTGGTTGAGCTGAGATACAAATACTGTTCCATACACACTATCAATATTTGTTTTGTTACTGCTCAGGCTTTTTCTTGCTGAACCAATTTCCAAAATATCCACATTCACAATCCCTGAATTGCAAATAGGACCATTAGCCAACCTCAGTGTAGCCTGAGGCGAAGCAGCACACTGACTCCACAGACTGAAGACACTGACACTGCAGACAGGCTCCCTCCTGTGGGTTTGTGTGCAGCCCAATGCACTGACACCCTATAACTGTAAATTTAAAAAAAATAAATAAATGAATGTCAAAACTAAAACACTGGAGAAATCACCTGCTTCCCTCAGCAGCAGCTCCAAACAAAATATGAATCATAGCAGGGGATTTTTACAGAGTTTAAAACATGTCTGCAGGAACTTTAACTAGAAACTATTTTGTTACTTTCCCTGTTGTGCACATGCTCACATGTAAAACGAGAAACCTTCTTACACTTTTATATAGTGAAGAAATTTAGCTTGGAAAATTAAATGAATGAACTTCATTTGGACGTGTTAATGACGCCTCTGAACTCCCGCAGCTCTGGGTCTGTGTTCAAATGTAGTCCAGACTTTTACAGAGTAAAACTCTGCTGCTGATCATCATCATCAACAGACAGATACAGTGACGTTAATCAAGGTCAACATTGATCTAACATACTGGCAAGTGAAGGTAAATATAACCGTGCATTAATTATTCAGAAAAGTATTCTACTCCAAAAACACACTTTCTAGCACCGTGCAGGTTTCCAGGGATCAGTTCTTGTCTTGGCAACATTTTGCTGCTGCTATAATATTTCATCATTTTATTTTATTATATTATGATTGAGAAGTGTATCTGAAATATGCAGGGTACTGGACTGCAGTATGTTTAGTATGCTGACTGAACAAGCATCGCTACAGAGACCCATTAGAGTAATACAGTGCATTACTGCCAAGCAAGCCGAGCTCCACTCAACATGGGAGCAGTTTGGAAAAGGAAAAGTGGCTTTGAGCTGAGTGGATGCTGCCAAGAGGGACACTGCATTAGATCTGCGTACGGAGTCTCCTGAGGGACACAATAGTCTAAAGCCCAAGGCTCTCAGTCACTGGTCTGTACCGTTTCATGTTTTCCCCTAATAACTGTTCAACCAGAATTATACTGAATAACACAACCGGTCACCAACAATGTTCTTTACTTCAGCCTTAGACGTTAACAGAGAAACCTCTGTCCACCAGGGAGAGTAAAGGTGAGCTATTTGAGCCGATGGCTGCGTATAAATCTGGGTCATCTTCAGTCGTACTGTACATGTGTGAGGCTCAGAGAAGGTTCCTTCAAATGAAAGCTTTGTTCTGGAGCTTCTCAAACTGACTGAATCAGCTGTTTACACACAAATATTGACATAACACCACAAAGAAGTTCACTAATTGGACATAAAGTTGCAGCTCTGCAAACAGCTTCAACATCAGTTTCACAGTTAAAGAAAGTGCGGAGAAAAACTGATGCTCTGTTTTTCTCTTAAGGTCTAAACTGACAAAAATCCCCATCTATTATTTACACTACAAATCTTATTTTCTAGAAGCTGCATTTTCTTTGATCAACATTAAATCAAATCACTGCTGCTAAAACTGAGTTGTATAATATGAAAAGAGCCACTCGTAATGATAAAGAGAACAGACTAAATTTTACTGTTTATTGTTACTGATACTACTTTTATTTTATTTTTTAAGTAATTATGGGATCTGAAATCCTAAATTTAATCTTTTTTATCAATTGAATCAATTCTGAAGTTTGAGAGGCTGCAGTCAGTGAGTTTTTTACATATTTGCTTAGTACAACAATTATCGATTATCATACTAGTTGCTAATTACTTTTCTGCCTAATTAATCTACTAATTGTTTAACTCCAATCCAAACATGACGACAGTTGCAGGACAATGTATTTTCACGCAGCTTGTCATAAAATCTCTTTAGTCATTATTCATCTGTTGAGAGCTCATTGATGAGCAACTGATTTTAAAGACAGCTTTTCATTAATATGGATATTTCTCCACTTTAGCTGAAGTTACAAAATCAAGATAACTGCTCTTTGTTCTGTTCAGTTTTCCAAGAAAAAGTCCTTAATGAGAAAATCAATTGGCTGCGCTCGTTTTCCACAAAGCAAATATGATTTCCATGGATTACACTGATCCTCTTACTTGACTAATGAAACCGAAGAAGCCCCCAATCCTCCCCTGTCTGCGTTGTGCAGTCGACTGCTCTGGGTTTATATTAGGAACATATGTTATAATGGACATTTACATAACAATTCTGTCATGTCCAAGAAGAAACGTTAAGTTATGTTTAGTTTTGTCTGTCTCGTGACTTCTTGTTTTATTTTGAAAACTCTCCTCTTGTTTCAGGTAACTTCCTCCTTTCCCTTGTGTGTTTCCCACTGGTCTGATTGTCTGCCCCGCCCTGATTGTTTCCACCTGTTTCCCATTACCTCGTGTGTGTATATAGTCTGCGTTTCCCTTTGTCCTGTGCCAGTTCGTCTTGTCATCGGAGAACCACGCCAGCCACGTTATCCCAAGTCAGGTTTTGAATTCTGTGTTACGTTTTTCGCCATGGTCTTGCTTTACATTATTTTGATTCTTTGTCTTTACCTGTGTCCTGAATCTTTGTTGGTTTTCCTCGAAAGAGTGTTTTGTTTTGTTCTACAGTTTTTCCTCTCTGTGAGTGATTTTTGTTTGGGTACTTTGAATTTATATTCCTCTGGAAGAGGGATTTTTCTTTGCTACTTTGTTATTAAAATATTGTTAATTTGTACTTTGTCTCGGAGTCGTGCATTTGGGTTTGAGTCCTAGTTCAGTTGTGATAAATTCAATAATGACAGAAATTAATCTGGACTGAATTCCTAATATGTTATTAAGATCAATTGTTTGCCTTCCATCCATGTTCATAAAAAAACACTTACACACCTTTGTTTCTTACCTCTGAACTTCCCCCTGTATTAAAACATTACAGTTCGTTCAATCAATCGAAAATGATGAAATGCATCACACTTTACTGTTTTAATTTAAGTCTTAATTACTATATTATTCACTTGCATTGCATCTACAGAATCAGTGATTGTATGAATAGTAAAACCAGTGTGTTTTCAGTATGTATCTCTCAGTAATGTTCTTTGAAGGTAAAAACTGAACTGATTTTAGGGATTAAATTCATCTACAGTCCCACTGAAACAACAACAACAAACCAAGGGAACATTAACATCAACATAATATTATAAACATGACTGTAATGTTAATGTTACAAAACAGTTAAAACAGTAGGTCATTTAACTCTCCTGGATATCAGCTAAAGGAATATCACTATATTACCATATTACCATCTCTTATACGCAGGTAGAGATGCCTTTCTGCTGATTTTGAGCAGAATGAGACCAACATCTGTAACCATGGTAACTGTACACAACATGGTGACCTCAGAGTGCTTGGAAATCATAATGATGGCAAAATATCACAAAAGAAAACAATACTGAAAGTAAAAATAATCAAAAGACTAAATCTGATTTACATTTTCGTCAAATACAAAAACGAAATCAGGTGCCAAAATTACAGTCATCGTGTTTTCAAGCAGTTAGGATTCCTTACCTACACTTTTGTTTTGTGTGTGTGTGCGTGTGTGTGTGTATATGTGTGTGTGTGTGTGTGTATGTGTGTGTACCTCTGTGCTCCACTGTGGGTTGACTGTGTTGCACACCACCCCGGAGCGTTTCTCCTGGCCGTGGTGCGGCAGCGAGGGGAAGATGCTGTGTTTTCCAGGCTGGATGGAGAGCTTCAGGTACGGGTCAGGATTGAAGAACATCCCCTTCTTCAGACCAACTGCCTGGAGGTCTGAGGGACATGATGTCACACAAGGACGGCGTTATGTGAAACAGAATGATACAAAAACATTTGTCGGCTGTTATAATGGCACATTGTGACAAAAGTTCAGACCACGAGTGAAAGTGACGCACTGCAGGATTTTCATCAGTGATCTGTATGATTCAGATGACTGCTGAGATAAAACAGGCTTCTATGTTGCCTAAGCAACAACATCAAAGTACAACCCATTTTCTTTGAATTCTAAAAACTTAGAAGAATATCAGAAGCCGAGTGTTCAATCGGTTTCAAATCCGATAAAACATCTGAACTCTCGAATATAAAGTTTTTATCTTTATACCAAATATTAAAATACGTCAAAATAAATAAATAAATGAAGGATTCAGTATCTCTCTACCATAATCTGATTCCTGACGGCATTTTATGTTTGGAAGTAAAATGGAAACACTTTATTGTACTAGAAAGTTTCCTAGAGAAAAATATCTGAAATTAGTTGTTCATTTGATAAAAGTAAGATTGTGCTGCACTCTTTGTATTGATCTTGGGCTTTCGATACTGGTGATCACAACATTTTGTTAAATCAGCTGATGATCCTTCTTAAAATGGGTTCAAATCATATCTCTGCCCAGTTGATTGATTACGGTGTCCCTCAAGGATCAATATTAGGACAACTGTTATTCATTCTGTACATAATTAACATTTATTTTCCAACTCAGCGATGTAATATCTGTTTTTACGCTGATGATATCATCTTGTCTGTCTTGGCCCCCACAGAAAACCAACCAGGCCTTCTTCAGGTCACTGTCTGTTTTGATGACCTCACTGTTTAACTTGTTCTAAGTTAAGAAGAACGTGAGCTGTTGATGTTCCCGGTCATATCCATGCTCTAAACTGAGAGCTACAGTAGAGCAGCACTGCATTTTACTTAGGAATTTGGACGACAGAAGATTTTTAAGAAATTAAATTAAAACTAAAACTGGATCCTTAAACCCAAAGGAGCTTGTTTCTACTTTGAAAACATACATTACATTACGTGGGATTAAGGAAATATCCTGTATGCTCATGCTGATGCCACTAAACCACTTAAACCACTGAAGGCTGTCTATTACAGTGCCATTCGATTCATTACACAAGATCGTTATCACATTCACCATTGTGAGTAATATGAAAAGGTTGGACTGGGTTTCTCATTTATAAGGCTTTTCTACCTAAGCTGCCAAGATAAAGATGATCTTGGCAGATATTTAACATCTTTAGTTGAGCTTTACGTTAATGACCATGACACCAGATCACAGTTGGACTAGGACAGGCTGGTTTTCTGGACTGATGAGCTCAGTCATTCTCAGTCTCTTGGCTACAGTCCTGGGTGTGTTGTGTTGTGTAACCAAAAATGACAGAAATTTTGTTTACACTTTGCCTCAGAGTATGGGGAAAAAAATGATTGACTTACAGTATGTTAATAAGAAATCTAGATGAAGCCAGTTACACCTAATTTAATTTTTAATCCTGTGAGAAAGATTAACCCAGATCCTTCACCCAGCTCAGGGCCGCCTCAAGGACCCATGTGTTGTTTCAGTCTGTGCGGTTGAGTGTGTGAAGCTTTTGTAAAAATACAATGGTCATGTTTTTATAGAGAGGATTAGTGGAAAAATACTGGAGTCAAAACATAACTGTTCCACTGCCATGTTGTGTTGCCATGGAGATGTCATTGTTAATGAGCTCAACATTGCAGAGTAGAGTTGTGTGAAAAGGGAAGTTGACTTTGCTGCAATATGCATTTATTTTGAAGGTTTCAAGGTTGTTTGGGAGTGAAATTGAATTTTAAGTGGTTTGTGCATAATTTGAGTTGTAAAGGCAGCTGGGGGGGGGGGTCCTCTCATCCCATCCAAGGTAATATGTGATCAGTGATGTAAGACTAAATGATAAGTGATGTAAGACATACAGTGTGTGCCGCAGATTCAAGTAGGGAAGACACCACACTCAGATATTGGATTCTGAAAGTCTGCAAGAAGGTTTTTCATCACGTCTTTAAAGTGCAGTTAAATCTTTGATCCTTGCTGCACATATAGAGGATGCTGCTTTATAAAAAGCTGCTTGAGAACCATCACATGTTGTAAGTTTTCTTCAGCATCAAAGTAATGCAGTGATACTTGTCTGCACATCCTCCGATATAAACCTCAACGGCTCATAGCTAATTCATCTCACTCTTAATGGTCCCAGATTTTCAAGTTCAAGCTGTAGCTAACAGCTAACTCACTCATTATACTTCCTGTTTACATCCCATAAAGTATTATGGGACCAAAATTTAAATCATGATCATCCCCTTGATATAGTCAAGGATAAGATTAATAATACAGAAGCAACTGCCTCAATTTTAGAGGATTCAACTTTAGGAGATTCTCACAGTGCCAGACTTTGGAATCCCCTGATTTAGAGGTTAGATGTAAAAAGCAAATACCTGACCGTGATAAGGATCAATAGATAATAAAGTGACTGTTCGTATAATTTACCAGGTCAAAAAGGTTTGGTGTTATTTTTCTCTTTAGTTTCAGTGTTGTCACAGTAAGTTTATTATGTTCATATCAAATACATTGCACATCTGCTCTTACATAAACATGTGCTGGGCTTGATTTGAACCTACCAATGCTTTTAGACAGTCAACACTGAAATGACGAAGATGGAGAGAAGAGTCAGATGAAGACAGACTGTAGAGACGTTGACTGAAGGATACAGAGTGAAGCCACACAGGAATAGATGGAAAGAAAAAGTTAGATGTGTGTAGCATACCTGACAGGGAAAAGTTAATAAGTCTCCTGTTGCCCAGTCCATGGTTGACTTCAGGACTAACCACTGGTTTTAATACCTGAAGGCAGAGACAGACACAAACAGTTAACAGCTGTCTACGAACAAGAGGAACATGAAAACACACTCAACCCTTCCTTCTCCTCTACACCAGCATCTTCCTTCCTTTCCTGTAAGATGAAACTTTAATGATGCCCACGAGGAAAGTGGGTCACTGCAGCCAAATAACAGTATGCAAAGTAAAAAATAACAGCATGCAAGTAAAGAAAGTGTATGGCAAGTAAAATCTGAACAGAAAAATAAAATCCATTTCAGGATATACACAAGGAATACAGTTCTTCAAATCCCAAACACATGATTTCAAATACATTGGACAAACCGTCCAATCTCAATTCAACACTGTGTTTTTTCAAAGCTCCATTTTCAGCCGGACAGTGTCCTGTAATCAATACTCCGTCTTCATTATTCTGACATTGATTCTTCAGCCAGGAAGAGGAGGAGCATGGGGGATGGGAGGAGAGACGGAGGAGCTGATGGAGAGTGCAGGACAGTGTAAACGCTGTGTTGTGTCAGCTCCACCATGCAACGGAAATGTTTTGCTTGACTTCCCTCCTGTGATAAACCCAATCAATTAGGAGGTTTTTGATTTATTAAAGCTCTGTCATAGTCTTGGGTTTCACGACTTCTGGAGTTTGTTTCATACGAACATCACTGTTCTCACCCGTGTTTGTGAATCAGTAAATGTCCAAATAATCCGGTGTAAGGGCAGAAATCATTAGTGCCATGTGAAAACTATCTGACAGTGGAAAGTAAATATTAGGAATTAACTATAATAATAATGACAATTTAGCAGAATGGAGTCATATAGTAATTAAACACTGGAGGGGGTCACATGGCTCAGCTGGTCTGTGCGCGTGTGGAGAGGGAAAACGGTTGTATCTGCTGCTTTGCTGCACTGCTGTCACCACGACTCTGGGCAGGATGAAGAATTTCAATCGATGGACGGTTGATTAAGCTGTGAGCTCACAGGCCTGGAGAAATCCAAAGCCTGGCAGGTGGCCAGGTGCCTTACTCACGCATGGTGACTCAAGACGCTCTGTAAATCACATGGTCGGGAGTGAAAATATCAGCAGCTTGATTTAAGATCACGGGAGCAGGACACTGGGACAAACTCATGGAGACTCATGGAGACCTCCACAGGTCTGACTGGCAGATACCTGCTCTGGCAGTACCAGAGAATATCCTCCTGATGATAGCAGGCTAAGACGGTGGATATGTTAAAGATTATACGTGCTAAACATCAGCCTTTTAGCATGTATGTATGCTAACAGTATGTCAGCATTAATCTTAAAGCACCTCTGTGTAGAAGTACTAGGCCTGGGCGGAAATTCACTTATATTTCCCTCCGTATGCGATATTTTTCATAATATCTCTAAACGGGGAGCTGATCTGAATCTACTGCAGGTAACACGCTGACTGTAGATCAGTACCTCACACAACCCCACGCCAAATCACCCCAACTATCACTTTAAGATACCTTGTTGACAACTAATAAATTTCATCACAATCTGACCAGTGGATGATGAGATATGTTCTGTCGAATGGACAGACAGGACAAACATTTTGGCGTTAATGTGACATGCATCTAAATGTGTATTTCTTTGAACCGGAAATTTCAGATGAAGCTAGGGGATATTTTTATTTCACAGTGACTCAGATTATAGTGTCTTCTTGCACAATAAGTCAGAGAAAGTTAAGCAGGGAAATGGAGACATAGGAAAATAAAGTCTTCAAAAATACTGCAGCATTTCCTTAAAAAAATTCTCTCTCAGGTCTCAATGCTTATGCAACTGGCTGGAAACAAAACACAGCAAGCGAAAACAACAAGATAAAGGGATAAAGGAAATGACAGATGTTTGGACCAATTCATTTTAATGAGATGCTAATCTGCCTTGCCGAGTACAGTTGGAGAGAGAAGTGCCAGCGCGAGTCTCCTCAGCGATTCTAATCTCACAGATAAACCAAATGACAACTTCATCTATCTGCAGCACATTTTATATAATCTACCATCCTCCTGCGGAATACAGAGACCCAACACTCAGGCGCTTCCACAATATAAATGGAACAGAATGTACAATTTATGAGCATCCTGTGTGTGCTGCAAGAATCTTAAATGATGTAAGAGGAGAGAGATTTTACACAATAAAAGCCCCCCGTCCTCCAAACCATGACGAGCTCGGAAGAGACAGCCTACATTTACAAAATGGATCTACATCTGATTACAGGTCAGATACACCCCGGCTCCAGCCTGTGTGTGAGTGTGTGTGGAGGACATTTTAATACACTCCAGTGCCTTTTAAGACTGAGAGGCCGGGTGATCTAACTCGGGACGGCTGAACATCGACGCAGCGTAATGTAGAGGAGGTTATGTCAGCTCGGTGTTGAGAGCAGGTCTGTGGGGGGCAGTTTGTCAAATGCCATCGTCTGATGTCGATCACTCAGCAGTGGTCGTGGGCCTGGTGCTGTATGACATTTGGGCTTTCGCTAAGGCTCCAATTAGCATTTCCCAACTAGGAATCAATAATAAAGCCTGACCACTATATGTACCTAAATGTTAACGGACTAAATTGGCTTATACATATATATATATATATATATATAGATGTGCTGTTGATATATAACAGAGGCAGATCTGCTCTTTTCTAATGCGTCGGCCTAAAGGAAGAGAAGCGGCTTCAAGTTGCTGGTTTGATTCTTGGACTGAGGCGTTAAATCTAAGAGGGGAAAATCAAAGAGCGGAACTTGCCCCTCCTTCATTAGCAGCCCTGAGCGAGAAGCTTAACCCCCTAAGGGCCAGTTTATGGTCTGTAAGAACTAGTTCAGAAGACACGTTGTTGAAATCAGAAGTGGTTATACGTGATCAGAGCAGCCACTATCAAGGCAGAGTGAAGAGCTGCTTGTCACAGAGAGAGAGGGGGACGTGATACTGTTTAAGAAACAGGGGGACAGTCTCTCCTAGAAGACATGCGTAACAGTTGTGCAACAAATGAAAAAGGAGAAGTTCGACTCGTGGTCCCTTTCTCACCAGACACAGACCGTCCTAATCCAGTGTATACGAAGTCATCCGACCACCTGACAAGCATGAAGCTCGGGAATGTCTGTGACTGAGTGACTGAGTGATGAAGTTACACTATTGGTCGGCTGAGTGTTGAACTTTTCCCATCGGGCCATTGCTCTTTTCAAAATGATTTGGCACAAACAGTTTACAACAACTCCATTTCCTCAGATAGTCACAGCAGTCTTTGTTTACCTCAAGTGTAGAAGGTGACAGGTCTTTATTTCTAATTCTGCTGTTTGATATGTGGAATTGGTCATACTGGTATTTTTGTAAGATGATTCGTTTGCCCTGTTAAAGTCACTGCATCACACATAATAAGAAATGTAACACTTCCTGTAACTGTTTCAAATTAAAAGTCCTTAACTCTGCCATTGCCCACCAGAGTTTCTGCTGATGCTCCTGATGGACAGTCCAACTATTAAACAGTGCAAACAACAATAAAATCAGGAATGGACTTTCACTGTCAGCACTCACACTCCTGTGACAATAGTTTGTATCTTTATGTTGACAGCAGGATGTGCTGCTGCATTTTGACGCTATTTTCAATTAAATATTGACGTTTATACGAGTTTTGGCAGCCTGGCCTGTTAGAATCAGTTCAATACTAAATCAATATATTCATTTAAAGTTATGATTAAGCATTTGGGAAATACACTTGGCTTTCTCTCCTGGAGTGAGGATGTGCTTAACCTAGCTTAGCATGAAGACTGGAAGCAGCGGGAAACAGCTAAAAACAGCAAAGAAAACCTAGTTGTAAAATCCTGAACTATTCCTATGTTTCATCTGATTAATTTAATTAATTTGATATATTAGCATTGATTAAGTTAGCTACAGAATAAACTGTGCAGACACCACCAGTGTCATAAGCTAACATCACATTTTACAAGCAAATATTAACCCACTGTATTTCATCATGTGTTATGCTTCAGAGGTTCAGATAGACAATTATCTTAGATTATCTGAGTGTGAGACTGATTAATTGACTATGTTTTTGAGTTGTGTCTCATTAAAAATCTGGTGTGTGTGTTTTTCAAGCTGCTGCGAGAAAACAAGCAAAAGGCAGATTGACTGAATGAAGCTGTCACAAGTGTATGTGTACGAAAAGAGAAAAACACAGACGGAGAAAATATTCATTGTTACCCAGGCTATCCAGCTGAGCCTCGTCCTCCTCCCACTCCTCCTCTCAGGATGACTGGGAGACAGCAGTCCCAGCTGGAGACACATGCCGTCCATCACACACATACATAAACAAGTGCAGAGCCTCCTCCGTCTGCGGCGTCTGACTGTTTCTGACTGGCTACAGTAAACAAAAGTCAAAGCAGACAAATCCTCCACCGCTTCCCAGTCTGTCCATCTCCTCACTTCTTTTCTTCTCCTCCTCCTTCTGTCTCTTCGAGCAGTCTGACCTGATGCTTTCCACCTCTCGCCTCCAAAAACCTGAATGACTTACCTGAGCTGGACTACCCTCTGCTATCTCTGCTCTTCCCTGTCTCTCTTCCTATGCTGGTTATTTTTATTCCTTTGTCCTCAGGAAGCGAGAACAGATCAAGTTCTGGGCTCATCAGCGTTTCCAGAGGCCCACAGCAGCAGAATGGGAAGGCAAACATGGAAATCCAATCGCCCAGCTGGACACCCTCCTGATAACAGTGTCTGACTGGCAGAAGCTTTGGAAGGGCAATGACAATGTTGATATAGTGACAGTAATATGTGGTGCTGCTTATCCAATGGCCAGACAGAACTGTATCTGGAGTTACTCCTTCCAAGTTACAGATATAAAAAGCACAGGTTTGCACATGAGAGGTGGTGAAAGAGTCAGAAAATCATTTGTGGATCCACCACCACAAAGCCACGACTCCCACTATTATCCCATAATTTCTGGCTATATGAGATGTAAAGGGGTGAGATGCATTTTTCCCCATCATGCAGTGGGGTGGTATGACCCAGCTGCATCAGCTGCCTCTTAGCTTTTCCTCAAATTAAATAGGTTAATTTTACTTGAAACAATAAAGGTTATGATCATGATGGAGAGAAGTACGAATTAGAGCCAAAACCAAAATATCAAGTACAGGGACAGGAAGAAAACACGAAGAAAAAAAAAAACTTGGTTCTGCTTATCGGTTCCTAAACATTTATTGTTGAAAACAACAGCTACATATCTGCAAGGTCATATGTAACTATCTGCCAGGACCTGCATCAACACAGCAGCATGTTCATTTGTTTAGATATGAGCTAGCATGCATGGCTAACGTCATGACAGTGTGAATGACTGACCGTGAGAGGAGAGGAGAGGAGGACTGAACACAGAGTTGTATTTTGGCTCCAATCTGGACTGAAGTTTCTCTTTTATAAACATCTATCTTTGTTAACTTTATCATTCCTCCTAAAATAAATCCTTCTCTGCCTCCTTCCATCTCTCTATCTTTGTCCCAGTGCTTTATTTTAATACATATATCACTACAAATGTCTGCAGCCTGTGTTTAATATTCTCTCACTCTAAAGAGAGTTAATTGTATTTTTCATGCACTCCGTCTCTCCAGCTCCCTGCCCTTCTCCTTTAGTCACACACACAAACATGTAGATGCCCGTCTCTGGCCGTGTGCAGACCCGGCAATAACACGCACCTCGGGTTGACGCATTTAGGACGCATTTGAGATGCGATCACTCAGACCACATTCGGAGGTGGTCTGGGCCACATTGTTTTAGCAGTGTGAACGCAAATATGTCCTGAAAATATTTTATTATTTCAAATGGATAAAAGCTAATTTCACTGTAGCACAATGATTCATCATGATTCATCTAACCCCCCCCCACACACACACACACACACACAACAACCCATCTGTCATAGTCTGACCTCTGTAGCCAACCTGCTCCTCATCTCTACTTCAGGCCAGAGGCTCCAGGCTACATTAGCCACTACTAGCATAACACAACTGAATCTCCAACATAAATGTTGGCAGTCGCGTTGCATTGTGGGTAATGTAGGCACCAGGAGGAGGAAGGACGTGTTGAATAAAAAAGACGATATCTCTGGCTCTGGTTCTCTTGTATGTTACAGGAGTGGACTGATAAATGTTTGAAGTGTGTTGTATTGACGGGTTATTGCTGCATGTGTACACATCGCTGTACATACTCTTCTTCTACAGTCATCTGTACTTTCAGTAGAGTTGTAGGTGCAGCTTAACTTCAGGAGTAGCTTCCTCGCCACTAAGCCTGACTGACATGACTGACATAAGAAGCTAGACCTCCTCTTCCACGAGACACAAGATACTGAGTGACCCACAAATCTGAGACAGCTGCATTTGTCAAAATAAAGTCAGGAGGTGTGGAGAGACTCACGGGTGCAGGGCCCTTCTTGATGGTTACGGTGGGCGTCGTGGCCCTCAGTGCTCCGGTAACACCGTGGTAGTATCTGAAGCACACCTGGGTCTCAGCTGAGGAGGACACACAAACACACACACACACACAAATGTGTTGGAAAAGGGAGGCGGCCATGATGAAGAGAAAATGAAACAAGCATTAGTTTCAAATCTTTGTTTTTTTCATCACTTCCTGTTTGATGTACCCATGTGACTGAGTGATGTAATCTGACATGTCCTTCGTAGCTTTTAAATGTTTTACACAGCTAAATTAAATTTTCAATTTGTATATCATCATCTATTAATGGTGACTATGTCGTATTACATAAAACATTTTTCATACTTAATTAAAGTTAACATTTTAATCAAGAAATTAAAGTTAAGAAAAAATACAATTATACAATAATAATATAATAATTTTTTTTAAGGTATCTCTTTTCTGGGGGGACATTTTTTTATGCCTCTATTTGACAGGGAAATTGGAGAGAGGCAGGAAGTACAGGAGAGAGCGTGGGGGGAGAGACAAGTAGTAAAGGGCTGGGAGTCGAACCAGGAACCTGCTGCTCAGGGCTCATTTTGCCCATATGGCACGTGCTCGCCCCATTATACAATCATTTTCAATATTCTACATCGGTGATAGTCGATCAGTGACATCTATCATTTCTGGGGCTCCACAGTCTGTTGGAAAATAGGTGAAGTAGAGCAAAAAAAAAAAAGCAAAATGCTTGGGGGACACCAGCAGATTAAGGTCATAGTAAAGCTCCATGTTTTTCTGCTTGTTTGGCCAGACTCACTCAGATGGTTTGACAAGAAGAAGCATGGGAGGTGACTGGATATGCTGCACAGAGCTGGGCCTGCTGTCTGGTGTGTGTGTAAAAAAATATAGCTACTCACTTGTATTTGCTCAGCCTTGAATAATCTGATAACACTCACATTTATCTAAAGTCCTCAGTTTAATCCTTTAACAAAGGACAAGCTCAGAGAGAACCTCATTACTCATTCGCTCATGCTGGTGACAACATGAAGTGAAGTCATAATATGTAGATTCACAGTCTACTTTGATTGGGTGGGTGTAATTATCTCTGCTGTCTACTCTTTTTATTTAGAAATGGTAAATACAACACCAAAAATCTCACATCACCGAGACTTCAACTTGGTTTTAAGTGGATGACGAAGCATTTTTTTTATTTTTTACATTTGTAGTAGAAAAGGTTTTTATAAACCAAATGTTTTCATCTCAACCTCAGAGAGGAGAGTGTAAATAAAAATAGAATAAAGAATAAAGAATAAAGAATTGGTCATATATCGGAGTTAATTGGATAGACATAAAAGATAAAGTTATTCTCACAATGTAACCCCAGTGAGCGATCATCTCACGGCAAATCCCATTCTTATTCATTCTGAGGAAATAGGAACCAAAATTATTTGTAAGCAGTCACAACTATGTACAGAGATATTCTTCCCTGTGGCACAATCCTGATGTTTATATCGGCAAACAACTATATACAGGAAGCGGTGGAACTCTAATGACATACACTACTGGTGACAGACATTTATGACCTATGAATATTTAATTTAGCCAGTCAGTCTCCAGAGTAAAGAACTGTTTTACAGATAACAAACTGTATAAGATCTGGGTTCAACAGTGTCACAGACAGTCAAACTATCTTTTATAATAATAATAATTAGACAATTTTATAATTAATGACGCATCCGATGTGAAGTGTGTATCTGACAGAAAGAATTTCTAGCTTTGGTTCAGGAAATCCCACTGACGCCTGCTTTATGTTTATTATGACACGAAATGAGAAAAAAGGTTTTTCTTGCAACACTTTTCTTATATAACAATAAAAACGTAGATTTTAGAAGAACAACATCAACAACTAAAACTTTTCAACAAATGGGGGCAAAAAAAACCCACCACAAACCACAGTTGGAAATGCACATTTTTCATCTGGCAGTGATACCTGAAGTTCTCTTAATCTGAACAGTTTAACATAACAGCTTCATAACAGCTGTAAAAGCCTCCTCCACCTGCGATAGAAAGGTCTGTGTTACTAAAATGGAAACACCTGGGCGGCTTTACACTGATAAATTTATTCTGTTTCACGTGCATCCATTTAGTCTCTCTCTCTCTCTTCGTGCCCCTAAACGCAGCAATTGTGCACCATTCGTGACTGTCAGCCTGCGCCCACTTTCTCTGCGTTTCCCTCTAATGATCTGCTTCTGCAAGCAACCCTTTTCCAGAGACTGGTTCTTCACATGCTGCAGCAGCAATATCCCACTTTGTTGTTAAAGACAGAATCTACTGTAAACACACCACAGGGAAGAACACTTGGCACAAAGACTGGAGGAAACATTTTAAGAAAACAACATCTTGATGTTTGATGATTTTCTGGTATAATTTAGTGAATGAACTTACGTTTGACCATACACCGTCTACAGTTGAAGGTGCTTCACATCCGACCTCTTCGGTGCAGTTCAAACAAACTCTGGTGTCTTTGTATATTATCACCCTATAAAATTCTTCTGGCTAACATGTTAGCAAACAGTTGCCTCGTTCAGCAGCAACATTAGCATTCATTTAGCATCATGTTTCTGGCCGTCTGGTGAATCTAACTCCAACATTTATTCTCTTTAAGATGTTTCAGTCTCCACCAGCTTCTGGGGAAAATACCTGGCTCTTTAGCTGCTAAATACACCACTACGTTCACCAGCTGGTTGCCAACATTGTCTGCTGCTTGGTGCTGAGCAGGTGATGGACACTGTGAGGAGACTGAGTTAAAACACTGAGCCAGACACCAGTGAAGATATACTGTATAAACACATCAGATACAGTAAATTGACCTGCTGTCTGTCTCCAGAATATGATTTCCCTGTGTGGATCCATGTAGTGCTGATGACTCAGAATGACATCACCAGAACTGTCCAATAAATGAGTGGCCCTGAAAAACCCTCAGTGTATTTTAGGTCTGGTTTCTCAGATGTTTTGTTTCATCATTACAGCATGTACAACACCTTTAAGCAGAGCCACTGACTGTGTTCATATTTCAGAAGACAATGTGACTTTGATTTATAGAAATAATGCACTTTAATGTCTTTTGACTGAGCCTACACTGATGTGACAGACTGCAAGTGAAGGGGGGAGCCGTGATTCTAAACAGAAATGGGCAAAATGTCATTATAAAACAGCGAACAAGACTTGGATTAAATAGTAAAAATGATTTAACTCTACAGTGTAGGCTGTTAGTGGAAGCTTAACTAGAGCAGAATTTAATGAGAAACTCATTGCCTTGAGGGAAAACTGTTTTCTGCTCAAACACAAAAAGCAGAGGATGGTTTTTATATTACTTACAGTCACTGAAGTGAGAGCTGCAGTCAATTTTCCAAACGATCTGTCCCTTGTGAGAACCGTTGATTCCTCGGTTCTTGTAGTCCAGAAAGTTCTCAGACAAAGCCTCATCTGGAGAGAGAGATGAACCTGATGAAACCGCACTTCTACTTCAAACCCCAAGAATCCTTTGAAGAAGTATGTTTTATATGTTACACTCACAATATGATAAACTGCATTTAATGCTAACATTTGCTAATTAGCACGAAAGTACAGCTGAGGATGATGGAAATGTCATGAGCTTTGAACGGTCAGGAGAGCAAAGTTATTAAAGTTCATTCACTGGTTGACAATTATTGTTTGTACCAAAATATTGAGATTTTTTAATAGAATCCAACAATGTCAACCTCAGCTGATGTTAGAGCAAAAGTCAGAGGCATCTATCCAATAGCTGTCAAGTTTATTCACTCAGAACCCCAAATGTCAATTTCATGAAAAGCAGATGAAAAGTCAGGAGATCAAAGTCATTAGAGCTCATCCTCTGAGGACCAGTCGTTTGTAGTAGACATTTCAGTCTGGACCAAAGTGGTGGACCGACCAACGGACTGACATTACCATAGAGCCGTGCTGCTAGCATGGCTAAAACCACACGTTCTATTACTTGCCAGTGTTAATGTAAAATATCTGCATATAATGTGACACATTTTTTACATTTTTTGGTGGTTATTACATTATGATTTATGTATCAATAAAAAATAGCCTGCATATATCAATGGAAACAAACAGGATTACAAACAAAAGGTTGATGGCAAACCACAAACATGGGATTTAAACACCATGTTAGAGTCCATGAGACCCCCAGCTTAGGTAGACACTGTAACCAACACAACTGCTGCTGCTGGCGGGTGGAAAACCAGTGAGGAACATCTTTGGTTTCACACTGGAACACCAGCAAACTGGGTGAACTGGTTCAGGTGAATTGGCGAAAAGGGGTTCCCAACATGAACAGGGCTTTAGTGAGGATACTAAAGTCTGCTGTATGGAAGTTACAGGATGAAGACCGTACTTCTAAACTCGTATCAATCAAACTCTAATATTCAACGTCATCGTGTGATATCTCACTCACCAACATGATACATTCCGATCCAGTCTCCGGCATCCACTTCCTCCTTGATGTCCCATGTGATCACCAGGTCTTCAGACTGGCCGATGGTGTAATGGGAGGAGCTGATGGTGAGGGTGGAGCGGGCGTCTGGGGAGACCAGATCAGTGTCACTGGTGGACCGCGACAGCCCCAGCATGAAGGCCTCCTGGTTCAGACCGTTGACAGCGTAGGAGTCTGGGCCGTAGCTGTGACGAGCCGCATCCTTACAGCGCTGGCGGGTCTGGCTGCTGCGGGTTGGGGAGGCCATGGCTGCCAGGCCCAGGAACCGATTCTGGTACAAGTTCTGCAACAAAACACACCGAGAAGCTTTTAGCTAAATGAAAAGTAAAAAGGTTTTGGTCGGAAGTCAAATGAGAGAACAGCTAATATTTCTTCTGTAATCTGTGATGTTTCCATTTAAAAGCTGCTTGACAATGTTGTATTTCACTCCACTCACTTGGCGTCTAAAAAGCACAGAACTAGTGTGTTCATCTAATTGATTTAGCAGCTTGCTTTTTTAACAGTGACTTCCCCCAGATCCCCCAATCCCCCTTTGTGCCAGTACAGACAAAACCGTGTTATCACAACTTGTAACTACAGTGAATCGGTCAGACCTCACCTGGTTATCAAGGTCAGTTTAAAGGTGGTAATAGCCAATGAGGAAAACTGGAAACACAGACGCACAGATCCCATAATATTAAACTGATTCTGTGGCTAGAATAAACCCAGTGTTGAGTAGCCACAACAGAACATCCTATCTTATCATAGGATACATTAAAATCAATATAAATGTGTATAAAGTGATGAGGTATTAATATAATACTGATGAGAGGGCAATATCAAAGCTGTGATGTTTCTAAGTCACTATAAAGATATTAGATAAATATTATCAGTAAGTACATTCACTCAAGTTCTGTACTTAACTTTAACTATGAGGTAAACATTGTACTTTCTACTCCACTACAAATATTTGGTAACTATGGTTACCAAATATACAGAACAGTACAGATTATGAATTTATATACAAAACATATAATCAGTTTATTAAATATGATATATTTTTATAGATCAAATTATAGAATAATATAGAATATCATGATATTTGGGCTGGACTGTATCGAGATATTAGTAAGTGAGTAATTTTATATTATAGTTTCGCTACTTAAGTAATAGATCTCTGAATAATATAATTCATCTCCTGCTGCCCTCATGAGATACATTAGGCACTGGCAATAAAATATGTCATGATTACAACTGTTATTTTATAGACATAAACTTTGATGGATCTCAGTGCTGAAGCTGCAGAACTTACAGTTACAGATTAAGTTCTGTGCAACTGGGATGAGGTTCACGTTATCAGTTCGCTGACATGCTGGTAACAGGGACAACCCATGTATATTATTTTTAATTTTCCCCATTTTTTAAAAATCTGTTACTGTCTGTTTTTCACACACCATATTCAATCTAGCCACCAGGGACGACAGGTTAAATTAGAAAAAAGAGAACTGGATCTGCTGCTGTGAGAGCCAAGATACAACTACATCAGAATTTTAGAGTAGAGTTGGTGACTCTGTCCTGCTTTTTATTGGATTTGGGGATGTTAGCACGTTAAAGCCATCATACTATGGAGTGATCCTTAGCATATTCTACAGTCTTTTGTGGGGTTCCTGTTTTAAAAGGTCAGCTGCAGACAGTTTTCTTTGCCAACTCATTGATCTAGCCTTAATTAGCTTGTTAGCTAAAGCTAATAAGATCTGCCACCAACAGCTGTCAGTTCAGTTGACATAATCAATGGCCATCAGCCACAAATGAGAAGCCTCGAATTGTTTACTTCTATGTGAAATCAAACACCCATTGTTAAGAAAAAAGAATTGTGAGTGGTAAATCTGCCACCATTGTTATTGTAAACTGTGAATGTGCTGTTAGAGCGGAGAGCTCGGCAGGCGTTGCAGCAATGAGTAAGTGGAACAGAGCTTAGTGAAGGATCAATTGTGTAGCCACACACAAAAGACTCACAGGAAACAATGCATACCTGCACTGGACATGATGTTGAAGACAGAAGCCAGAGCATTCACCTATTTGACATAATTCAGACAACAGCACAAAAACAACTGTTTATGACACTGTCTTCTTTACTTTGCTTCATTAAAACGCTATTAATAATGTCAGGCTACAGCTTGTTTGGCTGCGCTGTAAACACATAGAAGCTGCTCTTCTATTGTTGCATTTCTGACAGATTAACCTCCCCACGCAGGTCAATATGTGTCAAGCTGAAATGTCAATTGAATTCATCCTGCCAAATCAACCAAGAGTGAAATTTTAGGGATTGTAATTTTCAGGGACAAAGATTATTCAACATCTGTGGGTGTGGTTTATTACACAAGGACATATGCATTCTCCTTTGTTGGCATAAAAACATTGGATGAAACACAAAAAGTAAAAAGTCTCCTGAAATATAAATCCTGAAATAAAGTGCAGTACTATGGGTGGACAGAATAACACAAGCACTTTAACAGTAATACAAAAAATGCAACTAGCAGCCATGCAACAAACACTGCATTTTTGAAACTTTCTTAAATGTAGAGCTTTTTCTTTTCTTTATATCTGACACTTTTTCTGTGTTTTATTTGACGTGTTGATCAATAAGAAGATATATTTGTGGCTTTCTTCTGACTGTTTTCTGAGTAAAACAATAAAAAATAAAGCAGATTTTAGGTAAAACACTCAGAGAAACCAAATCCTGCAAGGTTTGGATGGTGGGTCCAGGTGGGCGGGGCTTGGTGACTGCTTTGTTGTGACATCACAAAGTTCCAGAAGTCCTGACGGCTGGTTTTAAGGCTCAGTTTCTGAATACAGGCTGTGTGCATTTCTCTGTGGAGGACTGGAGGAGCTTTAATATATAAATGGGCCCCAGCTTTTGGGGACCTTTAAATTTTGTTCTATTATCATTTTTGAGCCCATATGTCCATGGTGGACAAAATAACAGAAACACCCTTAAAGTAATATAAGCCACCAAAAATTATAGCCTTAGAAACCACCACCACCAAGTTGACTCAACACGTGGCTATTTCACTAGTTTTCAATAGATGTTACAGATGTTTATGTTATTGTGTCCACCCCTGTATTTGCTGGCAATAAAGAGAAGTTCAGGTTTTACTGTATAATGTAACTGAAAAAACAGTAAATATATAAATACATTAATAAATACATTTTCCTGTGGTTGTTCTGTTCCTACAAAATCCACTGACTTGATTGGTAATCCTGTTCATTATAAACTGGCTTCTGTTGATGAAGGTAGAAACCTATCAACATTGAACCTTCCCAAACGTGGTTTAAAAGGTGTTGCATGATCCATGAGGAGTTCGGTGTCTGTTCAGCGTGGATGCTGTGATCACTGCAAGATGCGGCATCATTATCAGTGAGTCCCAGTGCAAAGGGAGAGAGTTTTCCGTCCTGGCATCTCAGATCAGATCAGAGAGTGTTCCAGTTAGAAAGGAGCTTCAGGGCACGACTCAGCCAGCCTTGATGGATCGGTCTAAATGCTGAAGTACTGTGTGCGTGCAGTTGGTGATGGAGAAAGGTTATCTGCACGCACAATGTTTTAATGTATAGGCTTGTGTCACACTTGTGATATGAATATTAGTGAAAAGTATATTGTTTTTTAAAAGAATTTGGCAAATTTTATCCTGAATTTGATCACGTTTAAAGATGTTTAACATCAGAGCAAAATGTATGAAAAGATACGTCAGTGATGGAGCTAGATATCAAAATCCCGTAATGGTTGAATCTGGCAGACAAACTGGGCGTTTGATGGTGGTAAGCACGAAATGAGAAGGTGGTGGGTGATTGCGGTGGCGGGTGGGAGGGGGGGCACTGACCTTGAAACTACAGAGCTGCATCAGCATAATGACCAGTCAACCCAAAGCAGACCAAAACCTAAGGGAAGTGGGAGGAGAAGGGTGGTGTGTTACAAAACCACAGAACAAAAAGCAGAGGCAGTGAATGTAGCAGGTGAAAGTCAAGTATGGCATCTGTGTGCACTCATGTTAGAAAAGGAACAAAAACATCATCATCGTACTTTCATACTTCATCTTTGTTAGATAAAAATATGAATAATTGAAGAAGGAGCAGACGCACAGACGAACAAACAACAGGAAACACAGAGACAAATACACTGGGACCTCTGCACAGACACATGGAGATACACTCAGCAATGAACAGACAACATCAGCGTCGAATGATGCTCAACTGAAAACATATTCAACACAGCAACAGAAACATCTCATCAGTTTTCATGTGCATCGGTGGATGGTCACATGGTTTGCATTGCTGCAGCTGAGAGGAGGCAAGCCTGCAAAGGAAGAAGGGATTAGCAGGAAGATGGTGAAGTATCCTTTTCTTTGAAATGTGACTTGTCCATTAATGTGGTTCACCTCTGTGATGAAGGATATGATACAATATGCATTCACTGTATTCAACAATACTGCATTGTTTGTTTGTCTGAGGAACCTTGACCTTCGGTTGATTTAAAGCAGCTATATTCAGTGTTTTAATAATATAAAGGGGTCCCTCACAGTGACGAACCTACAAAGAATCATGGATCACCTGAATCTGCAGCTCCCCTCGGCTTTATGGAGCTTTGAGTTTCAGCCAAGCATCAAACCTCCGGGACTGAACAATGAAGTCAACACAGGAGTGACAAAAGCTGCAGTTCCTCTAATTACCACTAGAGTCTGGTTCCAACACTGAGTCAGTCCCCATAGACTCCCATGTTAAAATATCCAATTTTACAGCGGAAATAAAAATGTTTACAGCCTGGTACAAAAACAGTTTTGGTCTCTAGAGCTGATTTCCTCCTGCATGACAACTGTTTATATAACTCACCTGCTTGCATTTTATTAAGGATTAAAGTTATGGAGAATTGAGGGTGTGGCCTCTTTGAGTGACAGGTGAACGTATGCACCAAAGTCTCAGCTCCACACACGCCATACCTCTTTGTCCATTTATGAGTAAGCTGGGAGTTAGGGGCGGAGCTTCAAAACCGCTCTTTAGAAACCTGTGGGTGGCATCATGGAGACAACCTTTTCAACCTTTATTTACAATCTGTGGTTTCAGCTCATTGGTTAGCTGTAACGACCACAAAGTTATTGTTTTGGATCTCTGTCACCGCTCTCAAAGCGTCGTTTTGGCCACAAGTCATCTGTTTTCAGAGAAAAAAGTATGAAAAGCCGCTGTCAACACCCTGCTCAGCAGCAAACAGCAGACAGACACAGTCAGAGAGCAACAGATATTTCCCCCGGGAGCTGGTGGAGACCAAAAACACAGCTAAAAGAGAGGGAATAGTGGACTGGATATACTGGAGATTCATCAAGTGGACACAAACACCACTTATTCCCCTTTTCCACTCGGAAAAAACCTGTAAACTCCCGCTAACATCTGGCTTTTGTCAGCAATTGAAAAAGGGAACAATCAGCATTCACACTCAGGTCAAATGACTCACATGGAGCCTCCAACAATTACAGGAGCACCAACCCAGGGATGAGAGTCTGCAAGGTGGCTAACAGCTCACTCTTTCTCCCCTGTGTCTGTGTGTGTGCTCTGTAACTGTATGTGATGATATTGCTCCCTGCAGTTGTGTGTGTGTCCTCAGTCCGAAAGGTGTTTTCTTCTTTTTAGCGGGTTTACCCATACTTAAAAAACCCCCTTATACCCACTAATATTGGTGTAAAATTATATTATTTTCCCTTCTATACTATTTCAACATGGTATCTATTATATTTTTTCTATTATGAATCTTTCAGCTATCCTGTAACAGACTCCAGCAGTGTCTGTGTCTGCTGTAGCTTCAACTACCCCCAGAGGTGGGAATACAAATGTATGGACTCGACAGCGTGCACAGTGTGACACACATATGCAAATAAGTAAGAGCGGAGGCAAATACCAAAACTATACAAGCTCATGTTTCACAGTTATGTCCAAATCCCCACAGTCCTCATTACTCATATAGTAGGATATTAGTATGGTGTCATATCTAGCTACACGAACACATACACATCGTAATCTCAGGGGAAATGTCCTCAGTTGTTCTTCCCACTTGTTCTGACACCCGCATAATTAACCGGTTTAATTGCGTTCAAGACGACATGATTATTAATTCAGTGCACATGTAGAGCAAAGAGTTTGGGTGCGACTGAGAAGTCTCCACTGGTTCTGAGATGATCCAGTACTACGGCTCAGTGATGACCTCCGTAACCCCTCTGAGGTAGTTCTCCTCCTTCAGCTTATTGTTCAGTCTCAGTAACTATAGCAATGATCTAATTACTGCTGTCCACATCAACCCTTGACTCTGTGGTTGCTCCTGTTCCACCCTCAGTGAAAGCAGATATGCACTTTATGTGGTGAAAAAGATTTTAGTAGTGATGCTACTGTATAGAGATTGATGCATTACACTAATTTTCATGATTCTATAGGAGAATACTAAACACATATGACACTGAATATCTTGAAACTCCTTGGGGAGTCTCCACCGGTTGCCTGGATACCTCACGGTGACAGCAAGACTCCATGAAGGCCCATATATAAACCACTTTAGAACCACAACATGTTGTTATTATTGTTGTGTACGGATTTAACAGACTGTATGTGCACGGGTTAAACAAACAAGATATAACATGTAAATCTTTGAGCTTTAGAGGTGCTGCTAGGTGTATTCTGTTACCTTTGGTCAGAGCCAGGTTAGCTGTTTGCCTCTGCTTCTCAATGCTAAGCTAAGCTAACCACCTCTTCTTGCTGTGTCTCCCTTTTTAGTTACTTTAACCAAACCATTTGCCAAGTGTTTTCATATTATCAGAGAGAAACAATGTGTCCAAAATCCATACAACATACTAATTCTATACAGTTTGTACAACATGCTTATCGTCATGGGAACAGGAATGTATCTGCTACAGCATACATGATGCCAGTTTTATTATTAGTTTTGGATTTATAGTTCCCATGTTTTGGGGAATGTACACAGGAAGTATGATGTTGCCATGGATACAGCGAGTCCCTCCATAGGCTAAAAATGTGTGTGTGAGTCAAAAGTGTTTTGAGCCAATGTTTGTTTACATTTATGAAACTTGGCAACATTAAAAGTATGCCGAATTAGCTATTAGCAGTTCCTGTTTGCAGCATGAATGAGGATGTACAGACAACTGTCACTAGATCACTGTGATACTGAGGAAAACTTCAAAACGTGATGATTCTCAGTTAAGTTATAAGGAGCGTCTTTTCTATATGATTTCTATGAGTTCTACATTGGAGATAATGATATCCACAGAAGGTGTCACGCTGGACCTAAAATCATGTGTATGTATTCAGATGTGACTCGAGGAAGAGGTGGTGCACTATGGGATTTAAAGTACTTTAACTGCCTTTATGATCCAAGTGTCAGAGCCACTGCCGCTGCTAAAACAGCCAAACTACAATAACTAAGTTGTCATTGTTTTTTGAAACACCGACATGTATCCATCCTTTTCAGCTCACACTGTATATTTGACTCACTTTGTCTCGCAGCCCCTCGGGAAGGCACAGCTCACTGTTTAAAATCTCTGATCTACTTCAACCTTTGTCACTCAGCTGTGGCCAAGCTTGACAGAACGGGGTTAAGAGGAGAAGGTTAAGTTATTGTGTCCTATTTATCATGCACCTTGCTGTGTAGTGGAAGAAAATGATGCTCCTGTCTCATCTGAATGTAGGATTTTACAGTGTAGATGTTGCATTGCTTTTAAACTGATTTCTTTATGGGTCAGCTTTTCTCAAAGAGGGTGTGTAAGGGTGTTGTTAGCCAGACATACAGCCTCCAGCGCAACATGAAACTCAGTTCATAGAAGATGGATGCATTTAAGGAAATAAATGTGGTTGAATACAAAGAGCATTTGCCATCTCCTGTCCTCCACCGGTTATCAAACTACTTTTTTGGCCTCGTGCTCAGCCTGGTTTTGTGCAGCCACCTTTGAAAACTCGGGTTAGACTAAGCCAGTCATTTCAGAGAGAGTCAACACTCCTCACAGTCAGTTTACACATCACTGTTTACAATTCACCACCACGGCGGAGTGTGAAGTCACTGCAGAAAGGCCTCATGGCCGTTAGCTGCTGGCAGCAAGAAAACTGTGACTGTGTTGAATTCAATATGAAATCATCTGTCATAAAAACATCTTTCACAAAAAGTTAGAATCTTAATAGTTCACTTATTCTTCTTCTTGAGAATAATAATGTTATTTGTAATAACACATGATAATTAAAGATATTATTATTTTATTATATAATTTTATTATTATTATTATTATTATTATTATTATATATTATGGCATCTCAAACCCAGCACAACAAAAGAAAGACAGACTTGCTGGCACTAATTCCTTCTGATAAAGTCTGTGTTTATGGTTTATTTCTCCCTGTTGTAGAATAATGCTAACCCCAGAAGTGACTGGTACTAACTAATAAGCTTTACTGGTGCGATAACTACCAGACATCCATCACATAAATAGACTGAAATGTGAGAAGTCAGTGCACCAATCAGCTGCAGGCTCCATATACAGAATTAAAGACTGAGGTGAAGACTAAACTTTTAAAGATAATACCAGTGTATTTTCATTTATTTCTGTTGCCATTAAATCCACCAGTCACTACTAATGTATCCTAATTCCCTGAGGTGAAAGATTCCTACTGTTTTCAACAAAACTAATAGTCTAAGCCCTGATAATTGCCCCGTAGAGGCAGAAATGTTCATTACATGCCATGATATTATGGTTTTCAAAAGGAACCAACAACATGCTGATGATTTCAGTGGGGCTAAAAATATACAATCTTTGTCCCGTGGGTGACTCAAGGTTTATTCTGTGATAACATCATATAGACGTTTCCA